AACCATTTGATTCATATGGATTAGTTTTATCTCTTTATTAGTTTATCTCTCTGACATTTTTGAAGAGACAAAGTGATAGTTGCGTGGACTGTCAACGGAGGGATAGAAATCTCTCAGATTTCCTTAAAAATATCTTCATTTGTGTTTAGAACATGAATGACAGTCTTAGGGATTTAAAACAACACGAGGGTGAGTAATTGATGACCATTTACATTTTTTGGGTGAACTAATGCTTTAAGTAATTTTGCTTCTCAAGTAAATTTATCTTAATGTAGGAATGTTATAATATTCGCACTGCAATACAAGTCAAAAATACTGAGTAAGAAAATCATTTTTTGCAGTGCATTAATTAATTCCCTTTGACCCTGACATGCTATGACATCATTCAGACTCTTTGACTGCCCAGATACACCCGAACGTGGCTTAGAATTTAGACCAGTAAAGAGGGAAAGTGGAAGGAATTCATCTAAATCGCTCTCCCTTCTCTGTCCTAGCCGCCACCTCTGTCAACAGATCGGAAATGACACCTTATTTCCATAAATACATTAGGAATTCATTGGATTTTCTTTCCCAGCTAATCATAGCGCCTGTGTGAAACCTTTTAGGGTTTTTAATGAATGAATTTTGACTGATTGCCTATTAATAAGGACACCTCTTGAACAGGGATAGGCTGTGGCAGGGCTGGCAGTGTGCGTGAGTGCGTGTGTGTGTAATGATTCGTGGTGTCAAGCGGCTGGAGGGAGGGGTGAGAAGAGGAGAGCTCTCGGCTGGGACATTAAGAGGAAGCAGTGCCTCCCTTGGGAAATCACTCACCATGTCTGCATCTTAAATATCTCTGTGAAGTATCAATAAGTAGGTAATTGAATTTTGAACACAAACATGAGCATCAGGTGTATGTGTTCCAACGCGGGACGAGAGGGTGGGCCTGTGTGCGAGCGTGTGTCTGTCCTCCCCCGTCCCATGAGGCTTAGGCAGCGAGAATGGATGTTAAATCTATTAAATAAAGATTACTCCCCGTAATAGCCAAGTGGCAGTTTCAGATGCGCAACAGGGGCACGATTAGTGTGTTTGACTTCTAATGAAAGTGAATTGGGGCAGTCAGGTTTTGGAGAAAATTCAGTTTAAGGTCCAGGAATTCATTTTCTCCTCGGGGTTAAAAACAAGCCGTCTTGTCTCCAGATGTGCTTTATTGGCCTCTAAAAGATTCCCAAGATAAAAGAGCATCCATGACTGTTTAACTGTATTCATTTTGAAAGAAATTTGAAAGAAAAGTTTAATGGTAACATATAATTGATCATATTTCATTTAATGTGTCGTATGCAGACCAATGCATATATTATTTAATATATATATAAATGCAATAATCTATTGTAAATGTATAACATATATATATATATGTATGTGCGTGTTTATGTATGTACTATATTATGAATATGATATTACCATAATATCATGATGTATAAATTACAGATGTGTGTGTATGTGTATATATATATATATATATATATAATAGTCTTAATATAATATCAAGATGTATAATTTAATATTTGCAGATGTGTATATATTTATCATAATATATTTTAAAATAACCAAACATTGCATAACCGTTTGTATCACTATGATTTTGCTCATATATCGGCTTATTACGGTGTTACCATTATTTTGCCTATTAACTCATCATGAAGCATATTTGCTTCATTCAAATATGAACAAGTGTACATATACCATCAAGAAGATAATATGCCCTCTGGAATCCATAATATGCCATTTAGTATGGATGTCACCGGCAACAAGCTGCTGATTAACTAAGTACAGAATTAGTAATTGACCTTTCTAATCAACTAAACAAATCTCTAACTCCTGCTAATCAGTATTGATCTGCCCCGTCCAGTGACAGGACCAGCTTTGTGTGTGTGTAAATGCACATACTTGTCTCTGTGTGTGTGTGTGTGTTTGAGCAAGGCTTGCTGGCAGGACCCTCTACACTCCCCTTTTTAATCTAACTCACTCAATGCAAATCATTTCTCTTCTGCTCTGACGGGAATTGAGGATAAATGGAAATCTAATTAATGAGTGGATCAGAGGGGTGCACTCTGGTGAAGGGGTCTCATGGGAGAATGCTTGGCCAGACAGACTCCTGTATTGTTTTGGACTGAACATGTGAGGGAGATTGGGAGAGGGGTAGTAAGAGTTAGAGTAGGGTTGTTAGTTCAGCTATGACGAAGCTCTTTCCCCCTGTTTGTGGACCCCTCCAGAAACCAGTGGCCCATTTAACAAAACGTTAGCTGCCCTATCATTGACATTAAACCTGGGATTAAGACACACACATACTTATGGAAAGTACTTGAGGCACTAATCTCTCACATTGACACTGCAGTGGGATGTTTAATGATTGTTATATTTTATAATGCTCATCATTAAGTTTTTCACTTATAATGTTGAAATCTGTTGATTTAATATACTGAAGACTAAATTGACTTTCAGGCTTTACTCATAGCTCTCTCAGGGATCTAATGGGAGTCAAATGTCTACTGTTTGAACCTATGCCAAGGAAAATAGAAATAAGATGATTATTAATTTTTATTCCTGTGAATTTTAACTTTTGATGTACAATGCACTTTTAATGTGAGATATATTTTTGTAGTATGCTTGTTCTGTTTGTCTAGTTAGTTAAGCTTCATTCAACTCTTGGAAACTGGTTATGACACACACCATGTTACATTCAAAGTGTGTGTGATGAATATAAGGTTAATTAAAAGAATATTAAAATAAATTTGTAATATTCTAAAATACCTTTTAAGTATATTAGTATATGTAAAATATATTTTCTGTTGTGGGGTTAGTACATTTTAGGGCCAGTAGGTATTTCTTTCTTTTTTTGAAGAAGAAGAAATAATTCATACTTTCATTCAGCAAGTGACAGTAAAGACATGTATGGTGTTTATGGGTTTCAAATGAATGAAATAGATAATATAATGCTGTCCTTTGAACTTTCCATTCATCAAAGAATCCTGAAAAAAGTATCACGTTTTCCACAAAAATGTTTACCAGCACAACTGGTTTTAATATTGATAATAATAAGAAATGTTTCTTAAGCGCCAAATCAGCACATCATGTGACACTGAAAACTGGAGTAATGATGCTGAAAATGTAGCTTCGCCTTCACAGGAATAAAAATTACATTTTAAAGTAACACTATGTAGTTTTTCAACCTTCATAATATATTTCCAAGACCCTTGTGATGGTACATCGACTTACAATAGGTTAAATGACACGTCTGCCATAGCCTGACGTGGTCTGTATCGCTTTTACTTGCACTATGTAACTTTGGGTTTCGGGTAGTAACCCGAGCACAAAAAGAACTACAAAATTAGACTGCTTTACGGCATACGTCACTTCCCCCACCACTTCCTCAAATTGTCTGTGGCCATTGTTGATTCCAAAACCGGTGCTGGATAAACAGCGAGCGTGCGCGTGTGACCGTAGGCTGCGGTAGGCTAAATTATTTACGACAGCGGTAGTGGACAATTCCGCTTTCAACCTGTAGGGCGACCGCAGAGGAAAAGGTCCTTGGTGTTGCTTTAAAAAAAAAAAATTTATTTTATTTTGTCAATTAAGACAAATAAGAGACTTCTTTTAAAAACACTTCTTTTAAAAACATTAACAAATCTTACCGAGCCCAAACTTGTATTTTTTAAAACTATTGTTAGGTTTTATCACCTTATTTCATCTCCATTGTTTGTGGGGGTTTTTTGGCTTTTAAAAAAAAAAATGTTTGATGAGATGGTATGAAGTTCTAAATCTAAATCCAGGTTGCATCATGTTTAATCCAGTGATGGAAAGCTAAAGGTGAATCCACTGACACTTGCTCTTGTCATTAACACGCCACACAGGGCAGCTCATCTAAATTACAATTCCATCACATTATTTCATTAGCTGCCGCCCAACACCGTCGCTTACCCTGTCCCTCACTCCAATCATTTTCCTGCCTGAAAAACACAACCAACAGCTCATCAGTGCCTGTGTCAGCCTGACCACAGGAGGGGTCATGGCTGTTACACCTCCATTTCTAAAAGATAAGGAGAGTGTGCTGTAGATTATGTTGATGGAGCTTTGAGATTGAAGATGAAATAATGGGTCCATTAGAAACACTTTATTTTAGTACATTATATTTACTTCAATAATTACTCAGGATCTAGCTTTCTCTGATTAAAATATACCATGTTAAGTTACTTAACGTGCATCTGATAAGGTTTGGAGACTTTGTCTTTCATATAAGTCAAGTCAAGTCACATTTATTTATATAGCACTTTTTACAATACAGATTGTTTCAAAGCAGCTTTACAGAGATAACAGGAAAATAATGCAAAAAAGTTTTTTATACAGAAGAAAAAAGTGTCACAGTCCAGCTTAAGTTAGTTCAGTGATGTTTCATTTTATATATACTGTATATAGCCGCTCTGGAGTAAACCGTGATGTCATTGTTCAGCTATTGTATAATAGTGCCAATGCAGGCAGATCAATATTATTGTTGAATATTAAATTAAATGTTAAATTTAATGTCCCCAACTAAGCAAGCCAAGCCAATGGCAACAAAGGTGGAAAAAGGCAACAGTGGCAAGGAAACAAAACTCCATCAGGAGGCAGAATGGAGAAACAAACCTTGGGAGAACCCAGGCTCAGTCGGGGGCCAGTTCTCCTCTGGCCAATGAACAAACAGTGTATGATTATGATTCAGGCAGCATTATGTCAGAAGTCAGATTGGTTTGGAACAATCAGAATATTATCCAGTTCCATCTGGTTGAAGATCGGAGTCACGCCGGGATGGAGACGGGTTTGTTGAGGATCAGTGTTGATGGCTGTAGTGTCGATGGCTGTTGTGTCGATGAGGCCTTCACAGGGGAGAGTCTAGTTGACAATCTCTGCTGGCACTTCAATGATGCGTTGTGGTCGTGTCTATAACAGTGCAATAACCTGTTGACTTTATTGTCCTTTTCCAGCCCGAGAAATGACGAGAGGGAAATTCCTGAACATCTTGGAGAGACCCAAAAAGTGAAGACCCAGATGGCGACCGCTGACCTGTCGGGACAGCTACCACCTGATTGTGATCTTGTGAGGCAGAAAACAGTAGCATGATACGTTAGCTTTTAAATGCTTTCAATACGATTTGACTGATTTGGGGTCAAAACATCACAACAGCAATGCATCAATATATTTTGTATATATGTTCTCAAAAAGTTCTTTAAATGACAGGTGCTGAGTAGAAAGGGTAGGATAGTGGTGTGCTATTCAATAAATGTTCATAAATGTATTTATTTTTCACTCTGCTGTGTTTAATACAGTGTAATACAACTTCAATTGTTTTATTAAAAATTCACTTTTGTTTAAATGAAGTACAGTTGGTTGTGTTCGCCTACATGCCCTGTCGGAAAAAATGCAGATCTTCCTATTTTATTTAATTTTTTAGTACATTTTTAACACTTTTGCTTTTTGCATCTGCTAGTGAGGCTTTGCTTCCCATTGGCCAGCCAATGACGTTTTCTTGAAAGTAGCTTCCATGAAACAATGAGGGAGTTCATGAAGTAGTGTTCAAACTTTTAATTAGGGCAATAACTTCATGCCTGTGCCACTCCAGCGACTGCTCCATTAACGTCCCTCTTTTGCTCCGGACATGTGAAAGGCTTTGACATGAGAGTGCTTCCATGCCAGTGCAAGGCCATTTTATCTATTTAATGGGAATTGGAAGTTTTGAAGGCCCCCAGTACAAAACATTGCGTAAAAATAATATTGCTCATTGTCATTCCTGTTAACAAGAGTTGACATAATTACTAGGGCCATTTCTTCTCTAATTAGCACACTTCCAGGGACATTGGCGCGAACAGTCTGGGAGAAAAGGGAATCAGACAGGCATGCTGAACGGCAAACAAAGAACGCTCTGGCGAGCGTAATTAGGTGAGACAGTGGCCAGGACTGTTCTCGGCTGGAGATGTCGTAGAGGCTGCGGTTGGCGAGTGTTCGCTCCTGCTCCCACCAATTCTTTGGTGTGCGCCTCTCCCCCAGTGTCTAATAAGCCCCTAATTGTCTTTCTGATTCACATAGAACAAGGGAGCTGCTGGTGTAAACCATTCAAAACTACTGGTGTCTGATCCTGCTCTGGAGGCCCCAGATTTGCCCCTCATTTTTTTAACTGTCTAAACAAGCTTTTAAACAAGTTTAAAGAGAAGTGAGCTTGCAAATTCTCTGGAAAACAACCTTGACCTCTGGCAAATAGTCTCACATACGTATATGTATCTCTGTACTGTTGTTGATCTTTTATTAAAGGCCCCAATATACTTCAAGCGAAACCAAAGAACAAACTGCTGTGACGTCATTTCAAACCAAATAAGGCCGTTCAAGTTCGTTTGAAGTTTGTTTCGAGAGTTCAAAGCTGCTTGCAAACTTTCCGGAAAAGTTCGCTCTGGCTGGTAAACACCTTCAAGCTATCATTCAAATTACTGTGCTGATTATGTAATGGGTAGTTGTGCTTCTTTGATGTTGAAATCTTCTCTGGTTAATTTCTGTTCAGTCCGTCGATGTAAAAACATTGAACACACTGGAGAGCTGCTTTATAGTAGAAATTTCATTTGTAATTCTAATTGAAAGCAACACTAGCTGTTTCCTTTCCAAAGTTGCTAATTTAACTTAGGCGCAAAATTGGAAAATCGCACAAAACATTTGCGAATAAAGCAGCATTTCCTTTCCATGTGTTCAAGAGAACAAAATCGTAGTTTTTCCTCCATCGTAAATGATTTGCATCTCAGAGCGCGCAGATGCAACACTGTCATGTTATCTTCGTATGACCTCACTCGTACGATTTGTCTAAACCCCAGTGATGGGTAGGTTTAGAGGCGGGCTCAGGGGTAGGTCTTTCGTATGAATTCATACGAATTGGCCAACTCGTAAAATATGTAGGATTTAGCAAAAATCGTACGAGTGAGGTCGTATGAATTCGTACTAATTAGTGACCTCGTAAAATACGTACAAATTGCCATGAGAACGGGTTAGAAGGTTCTGGGAGGGAATTAAACCAAATCATTCTGATGACAGACTTGGGCTCATGCATTTCTGAGTGACCAAACCAACATTTGAGATGCTGTGCAATAAAATAGGTCCGCTGGTTAGTCCAGTTATCCAATCACATCCACTGTTGAGGCAAAGTCACAAAAGTGTTTTGTTCCACATTGAGTGATTTTTTTGGTATGTGTGTTTCCATCGTAGTAAAAATAAATAAATGGAAACATAGCTACTTGCTTTAAAGCAATCTATTGTATAATGTGTTAAATAAACGTGAAATTACTTGACTAAAGTGCGGAATTCCCAAGCTAAGGCAAACATATCCACATCGCTATGATCAGATCTTAACAGCTCTTTTCTCACCGCTGTCATTTTTGCTGTTTTTATTTTGTTATTGAGAGGAAAGTGCACTGCACATATTTACATGTTCATTTAAATCCCACTCCAAGCAGTGCGAGTGGCATTGGGATGTTAGCTAACAGTATTCTGCTTTTCAGGTATTTCAAACTTTTTTTTACCCCTAAGTGAAGAAGGAAAAAGCCATTATCGTGGCCATGATTATATCGGGACCTTAAAGGGTTCTTCGGATGCAAAATTCACTTTTATATGGTGTTTGCATATAAATGTGTCTTTGCAGTGTGTGGACACAACCACCATACAATGAAAAAAATCCATTCACTCTTTTTTTTTTTATCCTCGAAAACCCTAAACACTCTCAATAATCAAGCCGTTTGGATTTTCTGAGCAATATGATGTCATATTGCTCATGCTCCGCCCACGGCCACTGACGGACTGTCCCGTATTAGCATATTTCCGCCCTCAGCCATTTGTATACTGTCTGCCAAGGCAGCACTTGTGTCAACACGCCCCACGGAAGAGAGGGGTGGGGTGAGCAGTTGCTCATTATCATTTAAAGAGACATCCACCGAAACGGGTCGCTGTGAGCTGTTTTTGAGGAGGTAAAAAGGGTGTTGTTTTACACAACCATTGAGCAATTTTAACCAAAGTATGTTACAAACTTTACATGAAGACCCTAAAGAATCATACCAACTTGTGGAAAATAGGCATCCGATGACCCCTTTAAAGTCAGTATGAAACGGAAGTCTTATATCTAAGTGAAATGGCTTCTCAAACAAGAAAAAATGTAGGGCTACACTTGATTTTGTCCAAAAGGAATTGTTTGAATCATTGTGGTTTGCTATTGGTTGTCCCACCCTCACACCGAAAATCGCATCATGGGAGAAGATAAGAGATGTCATTGCAAGGAGAGGGGAAGTTATTTTGATTAAAGATTATGAGAGCTCTTTTTTTTTAAAGAAAGATGGGTGCAATAAATCATTTATTTAAAAAAATGATAAATACTGCAATATTTCATAAAAAAACAACACTTGTCCATTTTCATTTCATGTTGACTTCAAGTATATAGTCATAGACTTTATGAAGTTTGACAGAACTTTGCACTCGTTGGTTCTGTACAATTGCGTCCGTTACACTTTGTTGCTCTCATACATTGTGACAGTAGTGATGTACAATGACTGTTGTGAATAGACCGGTTAGTAAACTGACATCACGGAAGCTGCGGTTCACATAATGGCACCCGCCAGAGTAGTCTCTGCCTGTCAAATAGGTCCTGTCCAGACATCCTCCTTAAGATGAGGGTCATTCCCCACAGAGGGGCTGTCTCCAGGACGGGGGAAAGAAAGGAGAAACACCAGAGCAGCCATAAACAACCCGTTGCCCTGACCTCGACGGTCCTTGCTGCCCTAACAAACGTCAATCCGATGTGCCCTCAGGCCTTTAATTAGCTGTCAATTAGTGCAAATTAATCAACTCCTCGCCTAATTAAGCAATGTCGGCAGGCAGCTTCCAAACACGCTATTGTGGGAGCTGTATGAGAAAACTGGAGCTAGCAAACTCACTCTGCATCAGGGGGTCATCGCACCATTGGCGGTTTCGTGAGGGGAAAGAACTCTAGTTTCCATTTTTTTTTCACCTACTCAGCACAAGGTGTTTACCATTATCAGACTGCTGTCCTCAGTATCCGCTCTGAAAATCCCTAGTCTCAGGAAAAGGACTCTCCCAGTAGCCAGTAACTGTAAAACGCCTCACAGGCATTTCGGTTTATTCAAGACAGGATTTTCAACTTTTTTTTTCTTTTTTTTTAAATTATATTTTGCTTTTGTAAAGGAATATTCTGGGTTCAATACAGGTAAACTCAGTCAACAGCATTTGTGGCATAACATTGATTACCACAAAGAAAACGTTACGGCAAGGCACTTGCAATGGAAGTATTTGAGGAATTTTTGGAAGATATAAAAATGGAAATGTGAAGCTTATCATTTTATGAAATCACCTAGATTAATTCTTCAGGTGGAGATTGTGCGTTATTTGAGCTGTTAAGTTATCTTTAGGGTTTATGGCATTGTCTTGTTATGGCAACAAAGTTGTAAAATTGGTAAGCAAGTTTAACAAGTTAGTAAGAACATCATTAAAATACTCCAAGTGACTACAGTGGCTCAACCTTAAGTTTATCAAGCGACGAGAATACTTTTTGTGCGCAAAAAAAAAAAAAAAAAAGACTTTATTCAACTTAATTTTACGTCAGAATGTATAGGCTCACTATTGGCCAGCATCACACGCATCACGCACATGACCAGCGTCGGCCAATAGTGAGCCTACGTTCTGACGTACAACCCAGAAGCGCTGCGCTGTTACACTACGTGAACTCACTCAGAGGCCCACACAGAAGAAAATGAATAGTTGAATAAAGTCGTTATTTTGATTTTTGGGGGTTTTGTGCACAAAGAGTATTCTCGTCGCTTGATAAACTTAAGGTTGAGCCACTGTAGTCACTTGGACTATTTTAACGATGTTCTTACTAAGTTTCTGGGCTGGCAAGTTTCAATTACAATAGAAGCCTATGGAGGACTGATCCAGCTCTCAGATTTAATCAAAAATATCTTAATTTGTGTTCCAAAGATGAACGAAAGTGTTACAGGGTTGGAACAACATGAGGGTGAGTAATTACTGACAGAATTTTCATTTTTGGGGTGAACTAACCCTTTAATGCAAAATAATATCAAGTCCAATATGAGGGAGATTTTGGATGAAAGGGGTTCTTGGGTCTTTGGGGGGCGGTTGAGAGACACTCCTCTATGCCGCAGACTGTGTGTGCTTGGTGTACAAAAACAAAATGCAACATTAAAAACAATTCATCACTTCCAATACATTGCAAATACAGAATTATGACCAGAAGAGCAGAAGTGATTCTTCATTTAGATTGCCTGGCGTGAGAAGATCAAGCACCAGCAATCTGTGATAGGGGCCGGACTAATGCAATACAATGTCCCTAATACAGCCCCATCCCAAAGCTCATTACCTTGCTTTGACCTTCCAGCAGATTCCAAGTTCTTCGTAAAGACAAATAGCCGTCAAGCATTTCAATATAAGAGAGGTCTTCATTTGTATGCATCACATTATACTGTAATTGTTACAAGTTTGGACAAACTCTCATTTTAGCAGCTTTGAAAAAGTACACAAGGGTTGCGTCCCATTTTGCACAGAGGTCAAGGCAACGGTGTAATTTACCATCCATCTGTTTGACTAGCGCAATCGTTTTTTCAGTATCTCAACCACTAGCTTTGTGTTTGTATGATGGAGATGACGGATTTCACTTAAAATAAGGAGGCAATAGGCATGAGCCCACAAGAGACTGAATATTCAGAGAGAGAGAGGGAGGGGGGGGGGAACAAATTTTGCAACAGCTGTTTGCCTTTTAATCTGCCACCATCAGATCTTCCAGTCTTTGATAGGCCACCAAATCTACACGAATGACTGAACTAAATCTTTCCTTAATCTACAGCCTTATTAGTTTGTCCTCTTATGCATGTAAATCAGGATGCAGTCATTTTCATATGTAGATGGATTATTAAAAGCCATGGAGGGAGAGTGGGGTTTTTTTCAGCTCACAATAAACAACAAAGCCCTGCACAGATTACAGCAGAAGCGGCGGCTACGAGAGGGCAGGAAGCAGTTTGTAATTGACAGGTTGCTTTGACAGAGCGCGAGTCTTGTGAATAGATGGGTTTATCTAGAGCGGGTGATGTGTCATTAGCATATCTTGATAACATTGATTTCTTCATTACCCTTAATGAAATTTCCACTTAATGGCTTCTAATTAGTTTCAACTGGTGCTCATGTAATTGCAGCTGTAATATTTTGCTCAGCGGCGAGGAGTTTAATGCTTTGATGAGACGCGGAAACTCTTGCGTGAAGTTTCATTCTCTTGCACTTACTTGCGCGTTTGTTTTCTCAATGTGTCTAAATGTGCAGATCGCTCGTTTGCGGTGTTCCTATATGTGATTAAACTTTACTTTTGTGTGACTGCCAGTTTTGATGATCATCTCATGTAATTGCCATGGAGCCAGGCCAACAAAGAATTAGCATGGATGGGTAATTGAATAATGTCCCATCAGGCCACAAAATCGCATGGCTTTTCTGTATGTTTAAGCTTATAAACAGGATTACAGTTCACCTTTATTAGTCAAATTCAGGACATTGTTATTGCCAGGCCACTTCGACATGATAAAACATCTCCAAGTGTTCGGTGTAGCTATTAATTAGCCAGAAAAGTAACAGATCTGTCTCTCGGGAGCGCGCGCTCGGAATCATTTCCTCGTGTGTGTCTGACGCCACGCGTCTGACGTTCTGCTGGTGTCGTATGAATCATGACGTTTATTTATGCATCAGTACATGGCACTTTGATAAGATTGGTGTTATCTCTGTCTCCATCAACGGCTCGCTGCTCATTTCCATAAATTATCTCCCAGTAATTATCTGTCCAGATGTCCAAATTGTGCCACAAATTATCTGCAAAACGAATCAAAATCCCACTGTAATTTAGTAATAGCTGATTAGACCTTGGTGTATTAAAGAAACATGGATGTAATTAGAATAAGCTATATTTTGCAGTCTGTTCATATGGGTTTTATATGCAACAGCTCTGAAAATAATGAAGGATAATGGAAGATGTCCAAATTTACCTTGATTTTCCCCTACTAAATAAATACCCTTTAAATTAAACACATGTAAAAAAAACCTCTTTGCATTTATCTTTATATAAGCATATTATTGTGGAAATAATATTGGACACCCACTTTCCTGCCGTCCTTCTGCTTACAATTGACCAAGATTAATTAAATATCAATTTAATATTCTATAATTCAGCCAGGTCATAGCTATATTCAACTGATTTCTCAGAATGTCTTCTTATTATAATTTTACAGTTAGTGGTGTGATTATGACCTTTTGTTATATTTTGGTAGGTGGTGCTTTATAGGCTACTCAAAGATAAAGGTGAAGAAATGCTAAAATGCACCTTTTATGAACATGTTTTCGATCCCTGAATACAAGTCATTTTGCTATAATTTTTTGTAAGGGTTTGAAATAAATAAAAATAAAAAAACGCCTAATTAACTTAATTTTTTTTTTTTTTTTTTACTATTTCTTTAAAAAAGCCAATTTCGTCTCAAAATAGCCTACTGATATTTAAAAAAAAATATCAGTCTCAATCCCAAACATGCAGGAAGCCATTTTGTTGTCATGTGATAAGAATATATTTCAAGAATTTGATGTGTTCAAAGATGTTGCTAATTTGCATGACCCATTTATCTTCTCCATTAATTAGATCCTTGAACGTGTGATCGAAGCCTTTTATTTTAAACCTAAAAGGGATTTTAGATCTTGCACAAAAAAAAAGGAATCTTTAGCGATTTACAGGAATTATAAATTCCTCGCACGTTCCTGAAATCTTTGTTAAACCCTTCAATAGCACGCAACAGGAGTTCTTTAAACTAACTAATCAATCTTTCTCATCTGGACACATTCGATCTTATATTAAATCATATTATAGTTTTATACGATGGATTATTCAATAAAATGACAACTTTTGCTTGTTTTTGTAATAGTAGATAATTTCATTCATTAGGCTATTTGATTTGGTGTCAGGCGATTCTGCCTCAAAACAATTATTGTAATGCTTCTGACCGGCCTATAGTCTGTCATTGCTGACGACATTAGTCTTATGTGTGCTATAGGTTGCACGTTTCCGTTGTCCAGGTGTCCTTTTTATTTTCGACGATTGTATTTCCTTTATTTTATCATCTAGATACACCTAAAACAGATTCCTAAAGCCGTTAACAATAGGCACAATACGTCTAAAATGTTGAAGAAGAAAACAGAACATTTGTAGGCTAGAAGATTACCTCACAGGCAAGTATGTTATTTTTAGTAGGCCTATAGGTTAAATTACGAGTGAATTTAATTCGAAATATAATTTCGAAGTGATCTAATTTTATTTGCAAATTTTGGTTAAATGTCTGATTAACACATAATTGCAAGCAACATGTGATGTGAATGAAATGATATCATGCATGGCAAACAGGGAGAGCAGCATCCTGTATCCTCTGGAATTCTAAATCACTTACTCGCCGCTGATTGGCTGTTGAGTTTTGACCCTTGTTGGGATGGACCTGTTGGATAAAAGGAGAATTTCTAGAGGGATCATGCGTATTGCGCCGTGGATGCCTTTGCACAAGGGACCGACTCGTATGTGAAGAAGGGAATAGTCTCAGAGGCACCATGACAGGAAAGGATGGGGCTGTTTTGTCGGAAAGTTTGAACAAATCAAAATCAGTGTGTGCCGCTGAGAACAGGGGAACTAACAATCCACATCTGTCAAAGAGCAGCACCACACATCCGCCCAAATGCACGGGCTTCGGCATCCAGGAGATCCTGGGACTAAATAAAGAGCCGTCCTCGGCGGCTCCGCGGAGCACACTGGACTCGTTCCCTGCCGGGGCGCACCTTCTAGCCAGCAGGTCGATGCTCGGTCCAGCTGGGGTTGGTGTTGGTGTTGGTGTTGGGGTCGGGATGGGCTTAATTGGCCATGGAGGTATTCCGTCGTTCTACAGCCAGCCCGCGTTTCTTGAGGTGCTGTCAGACGCGCAGAACGTCCATCTACAGCCGCTCAACAGGACAGTGGGCCCGCTGGAAAATAACCAGTCTGCCAGCTCAGGTATAGGCCTAAGAAATTCACTTTTAACGCCCGCTCGGGTCCAATTTTCTTATTGTTGTATAGCCCTGTAAGGGGAAAGGGCCTTAATAATAATATCAATATGCTACTATTATTGGTTGTTGCTATTAGGCCTATTACAATTTTTTTCAAGATGGAAATGTGAAATAAAAAGCCTGCTGTTACCTGTTTTTTTTTAATAAGCTAATACATTAGGCTATATTTTCCTCCAAATCCCAAGTGATTATCATCATCGTAGTTAAAAGCGTCAAATAGCGTTTTTTTTTAATTAAAGGGCAATAATGGCTACAAAATATTTTACATTTTGAAAATGTCACAGCCATTTTGAATAGTCTAATATTTCCTCCGATGTTACAGATTCAGAAGATGTCTCTTCAAGTGAAAGGAAAATATCAAAGTCTTCACTGAGCCAGAGCAAGAAGAGAAAAAAGAGACGACACAGGTAGGCTTGAACGCTAAAAATGAATGTAAATTAATCTTCTTGATTAATTAGACAGTAATCTAAACATCATTTCTGTGGTCTCCGAAATTAAATATCCGAAACAGGAATGTGTAAAATTCTGTAAAACGTTTCTCTCGGTGGTTTGGCAATTATTATGGCTCTGGCGAAATGCGGTTATGATGCCCAGATTTCTGTCCCTTATTTGGGAGCTAGGCTAATTATGTTGGGGTTTTTTTCGTAACGTGTTAATTAACTGTAGGTTTTAAAAGGCAGTAAAAATAGCCTATCTATTTTTCTTTATTATAATAATAATAATAATAGGCCTACATTGTCGTGATTTGCATTTTTATATTGTCATTTTGTAAGAAGCATTTAGATTCTTTTTATATGAAAGATCTGCTTCAATTACAGTTAGAAACAATACATTAATATCTATAATTATGATTTTCAGTAGCCTAGCCTATTTTAAATGTTCAAACAAAATACAATAATTAATACACATCACATAATTTCTTGTTCTTTAAACTAGTTTAAAACCCAAAAGAAAAAAAACTCGACATTGGTCCACTCGATTTGAGCCTAATGAAATAGCTCAATTTATGCGTGATGTTTCTAATATTGATTTGACAATTGAATGTTGTTCTTTTGTAGAACAATATTTACATCTTACCAGCTGGAAGAACTGGAGAAGGCTTTTAACGAGGCTCATTATCCGGATGTGTACGCCAGAGAAATGCTGGCCATGAAAACCGAGCTGCCCGAGGACAGAATACAGGTAAGGAACGAACACTGTTACTCGCCGTTAGAATTAAACGAGAATACAAAGAAACAACAATCATGGAACGGTCTTTTATTTATTAGATAAAAGCGTACAGTTTATAATCATGTTTGCTGTATGCGGGGGCATGTGATCCTTTTTCTGTTATAAGCTATATATAGGCTATTTGTTATGTCTGTTGTCCAAAATATATATTTTTTTAAATTAAGATTTGTTGTTGTCCCTCAAAATTCCGCGCAATTACGCCAGCTTTTCTTTCTTTCTTTCTTTCTTTCTTTCTTTCTTTCTTTCTTTCTTTCTTTCTTTCTTTCTTTCTTTCTTTCTTTCTTTCTTTCTTTTGCAAAATGCTTTGATCCATTTCCTATTTTCACATCAAAATGACTATTAAGGTATCAACATATTGTTTTTAAACATTTTCAATGAAAACTTTACACTTAAAATTAAGAAACTGAGAACAAAAAAAGGACTGATGCAATAAAATAAATTAATCTTGGGCTAGATGTGGTAATTAGGTCTCTATACTTTGAGCCTATAGGCTATTTTACACGCTATAAAAAATATGATAGGCTACTAGAGGTTTCTCAGGTGTCTTCGGAGATGCCCTTTTTGAAGATGCTTCAGATATGCTGCTTTGTGGGCATACTCAAGGAATTTTGAAGTGCCTCAAAACCTTTCCTGGCATGACCCATTTTTAAGCAGTGTTTGAGTTCGTGCAGTAACTTTGGTTCCTCAGAGAACTGACCTTTTAAAGACCATCTAGGTTCTCTTGGAGGTTCTGCCAGTGTGGTGATCTGAGGAAAATGTGCCTGTATCTTTTCCGTTTGCAGTGATGTTGTTGCGTGTATTTAGTTAATCGGCTAATGGTTTGTGTAATGGTTATAGTTGGCAAACATTTTCTTGGGGTCAGCAACAGAAGGTTATCTCAGTGGCGCGAATTATGGAGGTTCAGCACTAGCCCATACACTCTTAAAGTAAAAGTGAAAAAAAAAAAAAAATCTAGTGTAGCTAAAGAACATTTTAAAAATCGGAAGACCTTTTTTCCGTCTATAAAGAACCTTTTGTGGAATGAAGGTTCCATGGATGTTAACGGTTCTTTATGGAACCATGGATGCGATTAAAGAACCTTTACTTTAAGAGGGGATTTAAATATATATATATATATATATTTCTTAAGCATATGTTTCAGAATGGTTTTCAAAGGTTTCTGTAATTATTAAAGTAAGATTTAGGCTTAATCTACAAGTTTGTCAGAGCAAGTAGGCTATTTTCGTCTGAGGCTAATAGCAAAACAAAAAAAGCTTGCGCTTTACTTTGTGATTAGTTTGAGGTAGCCTAAGTAATTAAATAATGGCAAATACTATTCTTCACTTTATTATAAATGTACATATCCCAAATAACAGTCTTTTTAAATAGCCTAACTTACAGATAGTGGCTAATATAAAACTTTCGCCTCGCGAGACGCACCTTGAAATAGCGCCTCGAAAATTAGGGTGAATTCAGGGTGATAGGGACGCTTTTCCCCACCTTTAATAGCCTATTAAATAGACTATAGCCTACTAATTTGGAATGTTTTATACTGTAAAAAAAAAAAAAACCATCGAAATCCCTTTACAATAGTCGACCTCCGAAAGTCGTTGTACAATTCGCACACTGACTAGGCCTATATCGATCAAGTCCAGCATCCCACTCGGACAGATAATATCTCATCAGCCTCAGTTGGATGTGAAACAATTTGCTCTCAGAGAGAGAGAGAGAGAGAGAGAGAAGAGGAGGGTGTGTGTTTGCGCGCGCGCGCGTGTGTGTGTGTGTGTGAGAGAGAGAGAGAGAGAGAGAGAGAGAGAGAGAGAGAGAGAGAGAGAGAGAGAGAGAGAGAGAGAGAGAGAGAGAGAGAGAGCTAACGACCTAATCAAGCAATCAAGGCGGAAGAAGATTACTGTGTGACCTGAACCATCCATCTGCTGGCACGCCTTTTAATTTCCTTCTCATTACGGTGCCTCTCAGTGAATAAATAATAAGGAAATAAATAAATAATTCTATTTCAATCCAAAGTAAAATTAACATCTAATTTTCTCATCGAGTGTAATTAGTTAAATGAGAAAAGCCCGCCGTGTTCCAAGGGAAGGGATGTGGCGAGATGTGGGGAGTTCAAATGAAATAACTACATTGAATTTATTAGCACGGGTCAATGGCGCTGCTCTCTTGGGTCCTGCTCGTTTAATTTCCCGTGATATTTGCCCGCCTGTCCACCATCGATTGGGCTCGAAATTAACTTATTTTTCAATCAGCTTGTGCGTGCCCTTGGGGTCGTCTCTCATCGCTGTCTCCACGCGCTTTCTTTTGAGTGCCCGATAACCAATTTCTCCTCAAAAAGTATCGTGCATGAAATGAAGGCTATCATCATCGGCATTACCAGAAAAGATTGGAAAATGGTTTTGATAATTCCTTATCCAATGTCTGGCCTCTCTAGACCCGACAGCCCCCCTCCTCCTCCTCCATCCGTCAGCTCTGCTAGCAGAATTAGTGAAGGGCAATTGCTGGTTAACTGCTGTGATCAACATGCGTTCGCGTCGCGTCGCGTCGCGTCGCGTCATGACAGAACTGAACTTCAGGCACTTTACGCGTCGTGTCGTTTAGCCTATCTGAAAAAGTGCCAAAACTGTTTGCTTTATCATCTAGAGGCCGACATGTGACTACAATATAGCAAATGATAGGTGATAGTCAGTTGTATTTGATAAAGATAGATAGCCATACCATTTGGTTAAACATAAAAACTATGTTTTCCATTGCACACTTTGGAAAGATGATATTTAAATGAAGGCTATTTGTTTTTCTAGGTCTGTGTTGAAAAATGTCAAGCTGATGCTGTTTGTTTAAATAGCCTATCATTTCCAGGCTAATTAAAAGGGTTATGCTATACTTTACCCAAAACTGTTTGCTTTATCATCTAGAGGCCGACATGTGACCACAATATAGCAAATGATAGGTGATAGTCAGTTGTATTTGATAAAGATAGATAGCCATACCATTTGGTTAAACATAAAAACTATGTTTTCCATTGCACACTTTGGAAAGATGATATTTAAATGAAGGCTATTTGTTTTTCTAGGTCTGTGTTGAAAAATGTCAAGCTGATGCTGTTTGTTTAAATAGCCTATCATTTCCAGGCTAATTAAAAGGGTTATGCTATACTTTACCCAAAACTGTTTGCTTTATCATCTAGAGGCCGACATGTGACCACAATATAGCAAATGATAGGTGATAGTCAGTTGTATTTGATAAAGATAGATAGCCATACCATTTGGTTAAACATAAAAACTATGTTTTCCATTGCACACTTTGGAAAGATGATATTTAAATGAAGGCTATTTGTTTTTCTAGGTCTGTGTTGAAAAATGTCAAGCTGATGCTGTTTGTTTAAATAGCCTATCATTTCCAGGCTAATTAAAAGGGTTAGGCTATACTTTACCCAAAAATGAAAATGATTGCATAATTTAGCTATACTCACCTTCATGTTGTTCCAAAAAACCTGTATGATTATCTTGCTTCTCTGAAACACGCAGAAAAAGACAGACTGACATCCTCACTCACCTTTTACTTTTTCCAAATGAATGTCTGTCATTCCGCCTGATATAGACTAGACTCTTTGGACATCTTTCTTGATATGCAAATCACATTTAATTGTGAACAGGTGTGGTTCCAAAATCGGAGGGCCAAGTGGAGAAAGCGGGAGAAGTGTTGGGGCCGTAGCAGTGTGATGGCGGAGTACGGGCTCTACGGTGCAATGGTGCGTCATTCCATCCCGCTGCCTGAGTCCATTCTGAAGTCTGCTAAAGATGGCATCATGGACTCCTGTGCCCCCTGGCTTCTAGGTATATGCCACAGCAGATTAAGACTTTATTTATTTGTTTATCACCTTTATTTTTTTTTAATTGACCTTTATAATTCACCATTATCATAACTAGTAATGACATCATTTTAAAAAATGAAAATGTTTTTATATAGTCTCTTTTATAAATCTTTAGTCTTCTATAATTTAAAGCCTTGCTTGTACTCTTAATACTGTATTTCATGTGTCACCCAGCACTGCTGAATTTCAACATTATGCATGAAGGCTATATGAATAAAAATGACTGAGAGTAGATCGACATCATATCCCTAATATGCAAAATTGCCTTACCAGGACATGCCAGGAATTTTAACTTGCTATAAATTAAGCAATTTGACTACATTTACAATAATGTTCTCAGTCCATCATTTAAATGTTATATTTTTAGCAAATAAATGACCCAAGCAAATAGCTCAAAGAAACATTTTAAATTGTATTTAACGATTTTAAAACAATAATTTGCTGTAGTTAAGAACAACAACATATAGCCATATAATTAAATTGCTATACTTCTTCATCATCATCATAATCATCAAACTTTATTACCGACTCAGGGTCCAAATATTAAAACTGACAATACATAAAATGACAAAATACAACAGCAAACACACACACACACACAAAGGTAAAAAATCAATGTGTTACAAAAATACGATACAAGTGTCTCCCACAATAATTAAATTTTTGGAAGCATTAAGGCGGCAAATAAATTTATCCATAAGATTTCGTAACACGGCTTGTTTACTCCTGCAACTGCAATCACAAACGTTTCACTTGCACTATGCCATATAGGCCTCTTTAATAGAATTCTCATTGCACCGTAAGGAACTTAAAGTCGCTGTAAACTTGCTATTCTATCATTTAAAGCGAAATAGGATTTACTTAAATGATTAAATTATTATAACAACCTACAAAAGGAATATTATTGTAGTTTTTATTTAGCCATCTTTTTCTTATCATCCATTTATTTTTGATGCGATTCGTGACTCTCATGGCTCAGATTAGTCTAATGCTGTTACTAAATCTAAAATCTCTCTTGCTATTTCCAGTTCAAGATGGTTTTCCTACCACCAGCTGCTTTTCTAAACACGAATGCCAACCATTCTTTGCAGGGATGCACAAGAAGTCCATGGAGACTGTTGCAGTCCAACCAAATGAGAAGTTAGATGTCACTCAGATGAAACCCAATCCCAAACCGGATGAGGCCGAGGCTGAGGAAAGGAGGACAGAGTCACCTATGTCCAAAGAGGAACTGAGGGAGAACAGTATTGCAGTTCTCAGGGCAAAAGCACAGGAGCACAGTGCCAAAGTGCTGGGAACAGTTTCCTCTGAGAGACTAGAGCACAAAATGGAGACTTCGGTGACGGAGGAGAAGTCCAGCGAACAGCTAGACACGAAAGAAGAGGAAAAGAGTTCTTAGATTATGCACTGTAATTCATCTCTTTGTAATGCCATAAAATAGGATTGGTGTGAAAATATCTGGGCTATTTTCTCTTCCTCATTTTTCCACGATAACACTGGACTTTTGATTCTCATCAATGTTCCTCTCCATTTTATTTCATTTAGCAAGGTCAAAACCAAATTTTCCAGTTAGATTATATATAATATATATATATCAATCTTATGAATACTGTGGATACCCTTTTATCATCAAAAGATTGCTGTTTGCAGCGTCCTCAGTGCTGTTCGCAGAATAGCTCAATTGAATAAGACTAAATGTTTGGATATTTATGATCTCATTTCAGAATAAATGAATATTGTCATTATCAGAAAATAATTGATCAAGACCTGAGCTTTGAAATAACAGTATTCAGTGCTTTTCTTTTTCATTTTGTACAGAACCGTGTCAAACTCTCAGTGGTTGTAATAGAGTGTATTGCTGTATATATTGTAAATTAAGATAGCCTGCTACAGTATTGTTTGAGCTATACATCAATGTACTGTAGTCTTATTATGTGCTTTTTTCATAACATGTAAAATGTAATACAAATTATTAAAAAAGGATGAACAATGCTAACCTGTTTTACATCGACTGTGTTTTAAATCGTAATGAATTTCAACAATTTTAACAGCATCAGTTTAAGTTAAATGTTACGTGTAGGCTATATATTATGCCAATAATGCAGTATTAAAATACAAATCTGCACTGAAATCATTTTCTTTGTTGCATTTTGCAATGTTTCACTCAATCAAGCCTGGAATAACAATGATTTATATGTAGCCTAAACAGTTCTGTGTCACTGAGTGTAATCCGTCACAGTTGAGAAGCCTCAATCTGGGCAGATTAAACAGCAGGACTGATGCATAACAGACATATGGGAGAGAGCATGAAAGCAGCCTTAGATAGCATCTCTCTCTCTCTCTCTCTCTCTCTCTCTCTCTCTCTCTCTCTCTCTCTCTCTCTCTCTCTCTCTCTCTCTCTCTCTCTGTGTCTGTCTATCTATCTATCTATCTATCTATCTATCTATCTATCTATCTGTCTGTCTGTCTGTCTGTCTGTCTGTCTGTCTGTCTGTCTGTCTATCTGTCTATCTGTCTATCTGTCTGTCTGTCTGTCCATTCATCCAAGAGGCTAGTTCTCCTGAATTACTGCAGTGAAATTTTGAATAAATAAGGCAAAGGATTACAGTCATTCTATCTGATATTAGCCGTCTCGGATGCCTTACAATAAAAAAATCCTCTCATAACAGGATAGAGAAAAGCATGTTAATTATCTTAACAACTGTACATGATTAAATATTAGCCATAAAAATGACCATGTTTAAACCTAATAAATAAAGATATATGGGTCTTCCTCTGGCTAATCCGTAAATTGTGAAATCAATCAGGATTTGTGCTGATTAGGAGAACCGTCCAAAATGATGTTGCAAACGCTCTCTATTTCATCTGGGTTGTTGATCCTTTCCATGCCCTTATTATCAAGGCCTGTCAACAGATTATTGATATGCACTGTAATTTAATTTACTTAGTGTCTGCGTAATTAATTAGTTGACATCTGGGGTGATAAGGCTAGGCTGTATGTATCTCTATCCGCTTTTCTGACATCTCTGTCACCCAGCTGATCCTGTCAGGCATATTAGCCTTTTGCATTTCTCTGTAGACGGTTTCATAAATGAAATGTTGTTCAAAACTATAATAAACTCTCTGTTTTATGCCGCGCTACGTAGTTTAATCACTATTTATTTCGATATTTTGGTCTTGATCTGTTTGTGACGATACTAGTTTCTTTGTTTAGGACTTATTGCAGCTCTCTCAGGCTTCAGGCACTCTCACTAAGAGAATCACATAAAGGACTCGTGCAGGCTAATCCCACAATGTCACTAATGGTGGCCATTAGAGGCTGACTGAGGGACGAGCTGGACTTATCTGTGATATGAAGATTATCTTAGTGGCAAATCCATGCTGTCTTTAGAGTGATTTCTTAATCAGATTGTGATGATCACCAAGCTGCTGCGTTGTTAAGTAAGGAAGGTAAGGATGTTTGAACATTTTCTGGAGTAAAATAAGAAAGGATGAAATCCATGTACATTAGTCAAACATACATTCTGATATCAATCAAACTGAATTATTGATTTATTTCTGCCTGCTTACTTTAATCTTTTCATGGTAGCTGGCCCAATGACTTCATGCAGTCTTTACTAATAAATTCTAAATGTTAATATGTAATATAAAATGTGGTGGAATTAATGAATGAATGCAATTAGATATAACAGGCATGATCATTAAAAATATAGGCTATAGTCCTATCATTAGAATATAATTATTTGAAAACTCTTTGAGAATTATTTTAATGAACTAATTATGTTTTGTTTACATTGATCAAAACATTGCTGACATAAACTTCACGCATGACTATACTATCTATATCTCAGTATTGCACAGCAGGGACATTCAATATGTGATAGAGAGTAAAAAAAAAAGGTTGAGAGAAATTATCTCTCCCACCTGACAAAGGTGGGGTTTGTGTGCGTGTGTATTACTTTGTTTAATTCTGCGAAAAATATGTTTGGACTGCAAAAGTCTTTGTGACTGAATGGCATTTGTATGTATGATGCTAAATGTTGAAGGCATAACATGTTTGTTCAGTGGACTTGATTAATTTTTTATTATTATGTTATAGGTGTTTGAGGGTATTTTGACTCATCGTGTGAAGACCAAAGAGTGTAAAGACCAGCGACTCTACCTGTGCGACTCCACCGAGCAATGACACCGACAAAGCACTTGAGTATTAAATTCTTCTTGTTTATTTATTGTTGTTTCCTTTCTCTTCTACAAACTTTTCTTTGGATCTTTCTGTTTGTAAGCTCCTTTTCACTATGTGTTTTCAAATCTCTACTATTACTAACATACGTAAATCAAACGTCACACGTCAGAGGCGGTGCAATCCTAACAATCTCCGTACCCTTCCGGTGTCTTCTAATACTTTATTCTCTTTTCCTATTGGTCTCTGGAACTGCCAGTCCGCTGTTAACAAAGCTGATTTCATTACATCTTTTTCAAGTCATTCAGGTCTCAGTCTATTGGCCCTGACTGAGACCTGGATCAGACCAGAGGACACTGTCACACCTGCTGCCCTCTCCACTAACTTCACTTTCTCACACACCCCTCGCCTGACCGGAAGGGGTGGTGGTACTGGTCTGCTCATTTCAAATGACTGGAAATTTGATCCTTTACCACCTCTATTTGACAACAGCTCATTTGAATCACATTCAATTACCATCACTAGTCCTATAAAAATCCATTTTGTAGTTGTATATCGTCCCCCAGGTCAACTTGGCAGTTTCTTGGAGGAGCTTGATGTGCTACTCTCATCCTTCCCTGAAGATGGTACTCCTCTTGTAATTCTTGGAGACTTCAACATCCACCTAGAAAAACCTCAGGCTGCCGATTTCCACACCCTGCTTGCATCATTCGACCTCAAACGAGTATCTACTGTGGCTACTCACAAATCAGGTAACCAATTGGACCTTACACGCTACTGCTCTACGGACAATACACTGGTCACTCCACTGCACACCTCAGATCACTTCCTCCTCACTCTCAACCTCAACCTCAACCTGCCTCAGAACACAACACACACTCCTCCACAGGTCACCTTTCGACGGAACCTACGCTCACTTTCACCCTCTCACCTATCCTCTTTGGTCTCATCCATACTTCCTCCACCTGATCAGCTCTCAACACTTGATACTAACAGTGCAACTGATACTCTTTTCTCCATTTTAACATCCTGCTTGGACAACTTCTGTCCCCTTTCCTCCAGGCCAGCCCGCGCCACACCCTCTGCCCCCTGGTTAAGTGATATTCTTCGCGAACATCGTACTAAACTCAGGGGTGCAGAGAGGAAGTGGCGCAAATCGAAAGATTCGACAGACCTGGGTCTTTATCAATCCCTTCTCTCTTCCTTCTCTGCTAATATCTCTACTGCAAAAATGGCTTACTCTCACAACAAAATTTTCAATTATTCTGACTCTCGCATGCTTTTCAAAACCTTCTCCTCTCTTCTTAACCCTCCTCCTCCTCCTCCTCCTTCATCAACCCTAACAGCTGACGATTTTGCCACATTCTTCATAGAAAAAACAACCACCATCAGCGGCCAATTTACCAATCCACAAACTGACACACACATTTTACCAACAAACGCACACATTCTTCCCTCCTTCTCTCTACTTTCAGAGGCAGAAGTCTCTAAACTCCTCCTTTCCAATCGCCCTACTACCTGTCCGCTTGATCCCATCCCCACTAATCTACTTCAAGCCATTTCTTCCTCAGTTGTACCCACACTCACGCACATCATAAACACCTCTCTTCACACTGGTACCTTTCCCACAGCTTTTAAGCAGGCTCGAGTAACCCCACTGCTTAAGAAACCCAATCTAAATCCAGCACATCTAACAAGTTACAGACCGGTATCTCTTCTTCCATTTGTCGCGAAAACACTTGAACGAGTTATTTTCAACCAGATCTCCTCCTTTCTTACACAGAACAACCTCTTGGACGACAATCAGTCTGGTTTCAAAAGCGGACACTCAACTGAGACTGCCCTGCTCTCAGTAATTGAAGCTCTGAGACTGGCAAGAGCAGCTTCCAAATCCTCAGTCCTCATCCTGCTGGATCTGTCTGCTGCTTTTGACACAGTTAACCACCAGATCCTCCTGTCAATCCTAAAGATGAAGGGCATCTCGGGAACTGCACTCCAATGGTTCGAGTCTTACCTCTCAGGAAGGTCCTTTAGGGTGTCGTGGAGAGGTGTGGCATCTAAGACCCAACATCTAGCTACTGGGGTGCCTCAGGGCTCAGTGCTTGGACCACTCCTCTTCTCCATCTACATGACATCACTAGGATCTGTGATTCAGAAACATGGCTTTTCCTATCATTGCTACGCTGATGACACGCAACTCTACCTCTCATTCCAGCCTGACGATCCGACGGTAGCTGCTCGTATCTCAGCCTGCCTGACAGACATTTCTGGCTGGATGAAGGACCACCACCTTCAACTAAACCTTGCAAAGACAGAGCTACTTGTGGTCCCGGCCAACCCAACACTTCATCACAACTTCTCCATTCAGCTAGGCTCGTCATCCATAACTCCATCAAGGTCAGCTAAGAACCTTGGGGTTGTAATTGATGATCAGTTGAAATTCACAGACCACATTGCTAGAACTGCCCGGTCCTGCAGATTTGCCTTGCACAACATTAGGAGGATCAGGCCCTTCCTTACAGAGCATGCCACACAACTCCTTGTCCAAGCACTTGTTTTATCCAGACTGGACTATTGTAATGCTCTCCTGGCTGGTCTTCCAGCTTGCTCTGTCAAACCTCTACAATTGATCCAGAATGCTGCAGCCAGAGTAGTCTTTAATGAGCCGAAGAGAGCACACGTCACTCCTCTCCTCACACAATTGCACTGGTTGCCAGTTGCCGCTCGCATTAAATTCAAGGCACTGACATTTGCCTACAGAACAACCACTGGCACTGCTCCCTCTTACCTAAACTCATTACTTCAGACTTATGTGCCATCCAGAAACCTGCGCTCTGCTAGCGAATGTCGTCTTGTGGTACCATCTCAAAGAGGCACAAAATCTCTTTCCTGGACCTTTACCATGGCTGTTCCCTGTTGGTGGAATGATCTGCCTAACTCAACCAGAGCTTCTGAGTCAGTAGCCACTTTCAAGAAACTGCTGAAGACGTATCTTTTTCGGCAGCACTTGATTCAGTAGAATTAACACTTTCTCTTCTATAAAAAAAAAAAAAAAAAAAAAAAAAAAACCTGCACTAAAATTAAACTGAGAGGGGTTATAGCACTTACATATTGTTGTCCTACTGTTAGTTTAACTGCTTCTATTGTTCTCATTTGTAAGTCGCTTTGGATAAAAGCGTCTGCTAAATGAATAAATGTAAATGTAAATGCATTAACATAATGGCAATATTGCGATAAAAAGATTCCCATTAGTGACTGGTACTGCAGTATGACAAACGAGACCATGAAATGTGGATTGAGAAATGTAAAAGTGGTCCTTTCCTGCCCCCTGCTGGAGATTTACTGTAAAATGTAGGTAATTTACTCCACATTGGAAATTCGTTATTTTATTCACAAACCCACCAACATTACTATACTGTTTTCTTAGTAATAAATCTAATTTCCGTAGGGATTGTGTGTATAGGCTATATAATGTCCAAAATGGCTTTTTTTTCCTCTAGTCTTTCTTCAACTAAATTTTAAGAAATAAAAATTTCACACTCTCATAGTTTATTCATATTCTTACACCATACACTAACAGTGTTTATACATGCATCACAGGAGAATTCTGTTGTTATTTTTTTCTTCTGAAAAATCAAGAACATTTCCACCATCCAACACATGCTGAGTTAAAATATAGCCTACTCTACATTATTACGAAAAAGTAATTATGTGTGATAGTGATATTAAGTCATTACGAGAACATTTCTCATTAAAACGGGCTTCCATATTAATGCATATGTTGGGTTAAAATAAAAATGCAGATACAAATTGTGAAATGTTTACGATACATACGATTCATAGTAGCCTATAGCTGTAATAGCCTACAGCAGTTTTTGTACATGGTATAATATGAAATGTCAAAAGTGATAGGAATTAATCAGGAAAATGGACAATTTTTGACCACGGTGTATCCCAAAGTTGTGTTTCTCTGTTAATCAATATGTGAAAAAGTGTGAACTATTATAACAAGATTTTTTTTAAATGTTTTAAATATTGTCCAGTGTAAAGGCAGTAGGACAATATGAGCGGTAGCCAGGTAAAATATATCTTATTAAAAAGAGAAAAGAGAGAACGGCGCGCTAAAAGCGGAAATGACGTGATTTGTTATTACCCATCCTCCGTGCTATCGTCATCGGTGGCATGGACGGGAAAACCAATTGCCTGGCTACCGTTACCTTAGTAAGCGTCTCTGGATTATAACCGAATTCCAAATTTGAAATGTTTTTGACCAGGTTTTGAATCAACCTCGTAAATATTACTCACATTTTGAGTATTAATCGCCTGCAAGCAAACAGCTTATTTTCGCGCTCTTGTGAGGATCCCTACGTCAGTTAGCAAGTTTTGCTCCTGTTAACAAAATGGCGGACAATGAAGACGAAAATAATTCTGCGTCCAAATCTGCTGCAGAACAAATGGAAAACCTCGACACGAGCGAACCTCTGCAGCAGCCCGAGACGACACAAGCCGAAGGGGAAAACAACCAAGAAGACGCAAGCAAAACGCCGTCCACCGCAGAAGGGGGCGTTGATCAAGGCCTCGTCGAGTTAATGCACAGCGAGTCGGAGGTGGATGTCAGAGTTGTGGATGGTAACGTAACTCAGGAGGTGATCGGGCAGATTGTGAGCGGTGAGGTGATAACCGATTCAAATATCATAACGTCTTATGTTCAGGCCACCGCAGAGGCCGGTTTAACGGCAGAATGCACCACTGTAAGCGGCGACGTCCTAAACGCTCTTGCACCGACGACCACCATCATTTACGTGCAGCCCGACGGCAGCTTCGTGGAAAGCTCGGGCTTATCGGCTGAGGAGCAGCAGCAATTAATCGAGCAATTATCGAAACAACAATTAGTCCATGTTGCAGGGACTGAGACAGTTGTGAAACCCTCCACTGCCCCTATCGTGGACGTGCAGCAGGTTATAGTGAGTAAAGCACAGGTGATAGCACAGCCAGAGCCAGCTACGACCCATACAACTACCCCGAAGATACTGCAGAGGTCTGTCACAGCGCAGCCGACGTCCTACATTACACTGGAAACCAGTAATTTGCAGTTGGCGACAGCGGTCCAGCCACAGCCCGTCAGTATCGTGCAGAACGCGTCGCAGCAGCTGCAGAGCGTCGCCAAACACGTCGCGCTGCAGCAGTCGCAGAATGGAGCCAACACGACCACACAGAAGGTACGATAGAGTCTTTCATAAGTCAGAGAGATTGTATGACAAGACGATTCAATTATTTACTGTGCAGAATGGGACTGAATGGTTTCTCAGAAAACCTTTGAAGTAAGTGATTTCTTTTCCTTCCTTTCCTACCTTCTTCCTGTCTTTTTTTATTAATTTCTTCCACAAGTATTTCCTCCCCCCCCCCTTGTTTCTGCGTTTCCTTCCTTCCTTCTTTCCTTCCTTCCTTCCATACATACTTCCTTTCTTCTGCACATAAAATAACTTTCCTTTTCCCACAAATATTTAGTTCTGTACTTCACTTTTCTGCGTTTTCTACTTTTTCTTCAGCACATACTTCCTTCCATACTTTATTTCCCCCAAAAGTGTGTCCTGCTGTAATTCCTTTCTCGCTTTCTGCACAGATTTCCTTCCATACGTCCTTCTGTATTTTTTTCCATAAGCATTTAGGCTACTTCTTGTACTTTCTTTCAAACATTCTTCCTTTTGCACAAATGTTCTTCTGCACATACTTTTTTCTTACTCCTTGTACTTCCTCACACTTCCTTTTGTGCTTCCTTTCTTCCACAAGTGTTTCTTTTTGTACTTGCTTAAGCACTTTTTCCTGTGCATAGTTCTTCCTTTCCTTCCATAATGTTACTTATTTTTCTCTATACATCTTTCCATACATACGTATTGCATATAGAAATTATCAAGAACTTTGAGATCCTATTAGACTGTTGGCATGAGATCTTATATTAGGCTAATTTATTTGTTTTCACTGTTGTATAATATTTACAGTAACTATGGTATTTGGGCAGAAATAAAGGTTACTAAGATGTAAAGTTTTTGTAATGTCAAAGCAATTCTTTCTTCTTACAATAGTATGATGCCATATGCATCCTTCTACCTATTCTGCATAAAACCAGTCAGATATTCTGAGCTGAATTAGTCCACAGATTATGTAAGTAAATTATTTAGCCGTTTATCTTGTTGTTGTTGTTTTTTCAGGCAGCCGAGCCCATCCAAATTCAAGTGCAGGCACCTCTGAAGCAAGACAATAAACAACGGCAGACAACTCCAATAACAATTTTACAGTCGCAGAATCTGTCAACCGGTCAGCCGCTGGTGAAGGTTTCAACCGTAGGAACATTAAGCAGCCCACAGATCATCCACATCACCCCTGTGCCTGGACAGCAGCAATATTTCTTACAAAACCCAAACGATCCTCCTATTCAGCTTCTCCTTCAGAAACCGGCTCCTATGGTTAGCACCATTTCTGTCCCAATTAGCAAGGTACATGTCCCTGCACCTGCCACAGTCAAGAGTCCATCAGCCAAGCCAGTTGTTCCTACCCCAAAGATCCTTGTGCCGTCTCCGAAAGTTTTATCTCCTCCAGCCAAGATAACAATGCCTGCCAAAGTTATTACTGTGGAAACAAAAACTTCAACTCCAGCTGTTGGAAAGGATACCCAGAAAGCTAAGAATCGCCAGAAGAAGCCTCAAAAAATCCAGACCCGCTCTGGTCGGGTGTCTAGACCACCTAAGCACAAGGTGAAGGACTACAAGTTTATTAAGAATGAGGACTTGGCAGAAAGCCACCAATCAGATTCAGATGACTACTCTGAGATAAGTGTGGAGGATGAGGATGGAGAAGAACGCGGGAAGAAGAGCTCAGATGTAACCCTCAATCTCCGTGACAAATCCTTTAAATGTGATACCTGTGATAAAGCGTACATCGGCGTCGCTGGTTTGAACAGACACTATAAGCTAAATCCCACACATGACAAGAACCCGACGCCACCTCAAGCAGAAGACCTCTCCACAACTAGAGACGAACAACCTTCAGGAACTGAAGTCACTGATAATAGTCATGTGAAAACACTCAGTACTCAAAAAGTAAGATGATTTGTTTTGCTTGCTTGATACTAGGTGTATTTATCTGATTAATCAAATAATCACAAGTTAACAATATTTCAGGTTCAAGAAATTGGCAAGGTAGAACCCAGGAGACCTGGGCGGCCCAGGGGACCAGTACGGCCAGGCCGTCCTAGGAGGCCTGGGCGACCACCTAAGAGAGGACGACCAGGACGGCCACCCAAGTACCCCAGAGGAATGAGCTTAGAGCAGCAAGCACAAAGACAGAGGAATCGGCTAAAAGAAGTACGATCTAGATTGCTATACATCTGTGTGCATACACTTTTAGACATTCAAATCATATATGCATGCATTCTAGGTGAAGTGTTTTTTTAATAAATGCTTTGTTATAGTGACATTTCACCCTCATCTCTGTGGTTTGTACTTACATATTTGATGTAAAATGCTAATGGTGTGGGCTGGCTAGGTGATACAAGGATAATGTTATAACAGTATGTTGCTTGATACAATGGGGTTCAATAGTCAACTCGTGAAAAGGCTTCTTTTTTTTCCTTATTTTTAAAATTTGAGTTTCATTATAAATTAAGAGAAAAGTTGACTAAACTATATTAGCATCCACACTAATGTACGATAATGTTTTTCTATTAATAGTGCACTGCAGTTGTCATCTGATGCTTTAAATTATTGAGCTCTTTAAAGCTGAATGGATTCTGATTATTAAAACTTTATAGTTATTGTCCTTAGTGTGAACAGGCCTTTAGATTCTTTTAGTAGTTTTTTTTTTTTTTTGCACAAATGAATTCACATGGTCAATGTCATAAATTTGTTTATTTGATAAATGATTTTGAATTGGTGCTGAATCTGAAAAGCTTCTTTATGATTTCTTTTACATTTTTTTTTATAATCCTATAACTTTTTTTATATTTCCATGTTTATATTAGATTTTAACTTCTAGATTTTAACTAACCTTATTGAACGTCTAGATAGAACTGACACTTTTGACTGTTTGTTGACTGTAATTTTGATTTCACCCCTGACTGAGTATTTTTCATCTTTCTTCAGTTCATTAAACAGTACGATGATGAAGATCTCATGGAGATTGTTCTTCCACGTCTGGCCAGAGTCATGACTGTATGGGAGTTTGTGCTGATGAAGGTATGTTCTGAAACATGGGATAGATTTTTGAATTTTGTCTGGTCCATTTCTCACTGTTGAATCAATATGTAAAATACCATGTCATTATGTTGTTGGAAGCATTTCATACATGCTTACAGTGTTCTTGTCCCTATAGGTTGAAAAGGGCTACCCATCAAAGCAACAGTTCCCGAGCGTGTACCATGAATTTGAACAACTACACAGCCAAGTGAAGAAGATGGCCCTGGAATATTTGCACACTTCACCAGCCTCTCGGCCAGCTATAGAGGTCAACAACATGGGAGTAAGTAATTGCTAGATATTTATTCATCTCAGCTTTGCGATCAAACTTGAGTACATACCATATAAATTCATTGTCGTTCCAGGTTTTACAATCTCTGGGTATAACCGATCCCAATGCACTGAAACTCCTGACTTCCTCTGAGGGACAACAAAGTCAAAAGACAAATCAGTCAGAGCCAAGAGCAAATCAGGCCACAAAGAGTCTACGGAGTATTGAGGTACGTCCTGTGCACAAATAATTCCAGTGAAGACTCCTTTAAATAGGGTTACATAGTATACATTTCTCAGCTGAGTGTATTTTCATAATTAATGATTCTATTTATCAACTAATCAGGGGTTAGTGGGTTTAGTGCAGGGGTTTTCAAACTTTTTGATGCCCTGATGCTTTTGTGAGGAACCCCCTTTGTAAAATATAAAGGCAGTTATACATTTTCATAGTAACAATAAGGTTTTATTTGATAACATTAGTTGACTACATTACTTAACATGAACTAACAATGAACAACACTTCTACATTTATTAATCTTAGTTAATGTTAATCTCAGAATATACTAATACATTTTTTAAGATTAAAAGCTGTATCTGTTAACATTTAGTTAATGCACTGTGAACTTACATGAATATAAACATTTTTAATTAACATCATTAACAAAGGTTAATAAATGATATAAAAATATATTGTTCATGTTAATGCTTTAGCTAATGTTGACCTTATTTTAAAGTTACCATTTTCATGTTTAAAGAGAAACTTTAATTGTGATCTTGTAAAGACATGTTTTTTGAATAACAATTGAATAAATTATAAAAAATATATATTTTTTTTTACATTGTAATAAAGCAAATTGTAATTTTTTCAAACAATATTTAATTTAAGTTGGCTTAAAAGGTAAGTTCACTCAAAAATGAAAATGATCCCATAATTTACTCACCCTCCTAAGCCATCCTAGGTGACTTTCTTCTTTCAGCCAAACACAATCAGAGTTATATTAAAAAATATCCTGGCTCTTCCAAGCTTTATAATGGGAGTGAATGGCACCCTAGATTTTGATGCCCAAAAAAGCACATCCATCCATCATAAAAGTAATCCATACGGATCCAGGGGATTAATAAATGCCTTCTGAAGCGAAGCGATGCGTTTTTGTAAAAAAAAATATATATATATATATATATATATAACTTTATAAACTATAAACACTGGCTTCCGGTAATGGCCGTACGCAAGTCTAGTTCCGGTGGAAGAGTGACCTCTGACCCGACACATGACGTATTGACTAACGCAATTTTTAAAAATTTTAAAGAGAGATGTCAGAGGCCTTTTTGTTTGAACCACGAGAGGCGTCTACTCTCACCTAAGCTTACGCTACTCCTACATCCAACATCATGTGTCGGGTCAGAGGTCACTCTCTTTCACCTGAACTCAACTTACGTACTGCCGTTACTGAAAGCCAGTGATTATAGTTTATAAAGTTATAAATATGGATATTTTTCTTACAAAAACGCATCGCTTCACTTCAGAAGGCCTTTATTAACCCCCTGGAGCTGTTTTTAATTTAATTTTTTTTTTTTATCAATGTTGAAAACAGTTTTTTGTGGAAACCGTGATACATTTTTTCAGGATTCTTTGACTAGAAATTTCAAAAGAGCAGCATTTATTTGAAATCGAAAATCTTGTGTAACCTAAATGTCTTTACGGGCACTTTTGATTAATTTAATGTGTCTTGCTGAATAAAAGTATTTATTTCTTTATAAAAATAAAATTGACTGCAACCTTTTGAATGGTGCTGTATCCAGTCCTACACATATTTTGTGATAAAATCTAAAATGTTCTGTGGACATTTTAGGAAAAATTTCATTTTAGACATGTCTGTGGACATTTTAGGAAAGCCCCTAATGTAGTAGATGCTTTTATTCTTTTTTATCATGATTTGCTCCTTGTGGGTTTTGAACCTGGAACCTTTTATTTACCTAGATCCTTAACATCAACACCCCTCCAGGGAACTACACTAACATTTTCCACTGGTGGCACTTGCGCTACTAACTTTTTCAGTTACTAGCGCAAAACACGATTTGGTCGCACAAATTATTTATATAGTAAGCCGCTCTGGATAATAATGACCAATAGTGAAACTGTATTGCATACAGATGTGCTTTTTATTTTACTCTCCATCTTTTAAAACACATGCCTTCTTGTTTTCTTTAAAAATGGTTGGGATAGATTTACTGCAATAGAAAATACAGTAGCCTACACAATAAAGTGCTAAATTAATTTCTTTTGGATTTCACCATGCTATGGTTGGCACAGATGGGCAGACTTCTGAACTCTTAAGGAAAAGTAAAATAAATATAATATGTCATTGTGAAGCTTCAATGATTCGTGTTTGAATTGTTTTGACGCAGTTACAAATTTGGACAGTCCTGCAATTGAAGGCCCACAGAATTTACAGTAGGGCTGCACGATATTGGTAAAAAAATGACATTGCGATATTTGATTTTTCTGCAATATATATTGCGATATAAAAACAATTTCACCAGATGACTTGAATAGCTCTACTTGGAAAGAATGAATCATTCTAGAATGACTCTTGAGTTCAGTGTTGGACAGATCAGTTGTTATTTTAACCATTCATTAAAGTGAATCGGTTCAAAGGAGTCAGTTCGCGAATCGGACGTGTCATTAACGGACCACAGCACACGTTATGTGATTATCCAGGCAGTTTAGGACATCGCACAAGATTTGTCTCAACACAGAAAACATTTCATCACCAGATAGATTTTTTGTTTTGTTTATTGAAAGAGTGGTTTATGCCATCTGAATGTGTGGAAAGCTTTTCAGAGAAGATGAGGCAACGTTATTTTAGCACAATTCACAACCAGTGGTAGTTCAGAAAAAAAAAAACTTCGGTCTTCCGACCTTTTACCATCGTGTATTCTCAAATATATTCAGTCAACTCAATTCATTATTATGAGCGAGGGAGGGAGAGAGAGCGCGCGCGCGATTGGGGCTTTCACTCTCTCTGCTCGTTCTCTCAGTTAAACAAGCGCGAATCCGCGAAGCCAACTTGATGTGTTGAATGCTCAGAGCGCGTTATAAAACTTATTCTTAAAATACACATTTCTGTTTTAATAAATGCTCATAGTAAATCATAGCATATTGCCTAAAACATTAGGTAGGTAAAAAAATAATCAAACGGTGATACATTTGCGACCCATTAAAAATTAGGGTCGCAATGGCATTTCAAAAGGTCGCAGTGTAGTTCCCTGCCCTCTTTGAGCTGTTGTGTGCTACTCGTCATACTTTTATAGGAAGAAAACATTGTTTACTGTGTATAGTAATCATATTTACTCTTCATGTTATCCTTAGAATGCCAAAATGCTGCCTCCTGCAAAAAGGTTTAAAATAGAAAACTGCAACGAAGAAACCAACGGCTATCAAGTTAATCAGAATGGCATCCAGAAGGACGAGACCGTTGACGGCTCTGTGATGCGAAAACCTCAGGTGGTGTTGACCAGACTGGAGAGCTTGACTTCTGTAGATCTAACCGCTGACGACGCCACACAGAGCGCTGAAAACGCCAGCCCACCGAGGACAGAGGAAGAGCCTATGGAGACGGATGTGCCTTCTTCGGATTCTGATGCTACAAGAGCCGTAGAAGATCCAGAGATCTCCAAGGTCCTGGACAGCAGCGTAGCCGTGGATATCGCGGATCAGATGAAACAGCTGGAACAGGCTCTGAGCACTGACTCCGAGTTTAAGAACTCGCAAGAACAAGCTCAGCAAGAGGTTCAAGAGGACCAGGTCGACGCTCTCGAAGATCCCGAGGCCATTCAGGTGGTGCAGGAAGAATCTTCTGTTGTTATCCAGACAGCAGAGGGGCTTGTCATGCAGAGCGCGGAAGAGTTAGCCGCCAAAGGGATCGTCATTGTCAACGGGCCCGATGGCACAATGATGCACATAGAGGCACCTGAGGGGGTTCCTTTAGAGACTGTTCATGCCCTGCTGGGCATTGAAACTGAAAGAAAGACTTAATGGAGTCACATCTTCACTTCCTGTTTTTGTCCATCATTCACGCCATACATACGTTCTGTGTAATGGTGTTTTTTCAATGAACTTTTATTGCATTCTTTGTAAATTTGTATAAAAACAGTATTATTATATAATAGTGTTTTTTCTGTTTATACCACAAAAGTCATTGTTCATTTTGAATTTTAGACAGTTCACTTATGTTGGCATATCTTAACTATTGGTTTCTGAGGAAATGATTATGTAGCTGCGTGTTATGTGTCTCAAGGGGAAAGTGATGACATGGTGGCAAATGCTTTGCGTATGTGAGACACTAAATTTGTGAAGGAATCGAGTGCTTTTCATTTTGGAAACTGATTCTTTCTCAACATGCACAAATGGGAGGAAAGAAAACACACTTTGCCAAAACTAAGTTATGGACTTCAGCAAGGTTCAGAAAAGCTGTGGTAAAAATTTTGTGATGATGTGTCCACTTAGTTGGCCATTCAGTGAAATCTGTACATAACCATTTCTTTATGTTAGAAACCCAGGCTGTAGTTCTAATACAGTTTAAATTGGTACCCCATGACATATTTTATTTATTCAAACCTTTCTGGACATTGGTTCGAAAATGAACCTTTAAGGCTGAAAGTGGTCGTTCCCCAGAGGTTTGGCTCAAAAACATGGCCAACATTTTGTTTTTCATAGCAGGCCACTCTAAGCAGTGAGAAAACGTCTAGATTTGTAAAAAACTGACTCGAGGTTCTTATAATCTTAGACTGCAGCCTCATATGTTCCATTGTTTCCGTTATTTAGTAGTTTGTCCAGTGCAAAAGTCATTTGAAAAGTTGTTGCACTATTTTATTACTTTTTATATAATCTCTGGTTTACTGTTTTGAAACATCTCAGCATTTTTAATACAAAGGGACATGTTCAAATATGACATTAAAACTTTTGTGAGTGAGTTTATGGAGTTAAGACTTTGTATGGTAAAGACTGCTTACAAGGGAATTATGACAAGAAAGTATTAAAGTATAAAAACAGAATTTTATTTTTTTCTGAGAGAAATTTGAAGGTTAAACAAGCTATATACATGTTGGGATATTCTTTTAATTTGTGCTCATGCATAGATTCTAGACAGAATTACAAAGGTCTGTGACCCGTTTCTAATAGCAAACTCTCTAGCAGCAGTTTTCCACTGTCGTCAATGTAGGGTTGATACAGCCAAGATGACAGGTAGACCATTGAAAGATCGGCATTAGAAGTGTGGGCCAGTTCCTGAAGTATGGTCTTCTTCAGTGCCAACTCCTGCTTGTATGATTCGTAAAGCTTAGAAGATACTTCAGCTGCCGTGAAGAGGACAAAGAAACAACAGGTCAATAACATGGGATTTAAGCGATAATTACATTTTTAAAATGTACGTGTATTTCAGCTACCGATCTGCAAATAATCTACGATTATATGATGGTTGTCTTAAGGGGTCACATTTGCAGGGTAATATTTCTTCATTCTAGAACCAAACAAATTCTACTAAAGGGTCACATTTGCAGGGTAATATTTCTTCATATTCATTTTAGAACCAAACAAATTCTACTAAAGGGTCACATTTGCAGGGTAATATTTCTTCATATTCATTTTAGAACCAAACAAATTCTACTAAAGGGTCACATTTGCAGGGTAATATTTCTTCATATTCATTTTAGAACCAAACAAATTCTACTAAAGTAAACTGGACATACCGATCAAATTAACATTAATAGAAAGTGGGATAACTTGGTATATGATTATGAGCCTTTCTTTCTCATACCAAACTGATCCGTGGGCCACGTGTGAAACAGTGGTTCTGCTCTTCCTTTCTCTCCATACTGGAATGCTTCTAGCTCACAGATCCCACGCTCGTCACTGACCATTTTCTCCATCTTTGACAGTATGTTTGCCTTTGGTGAAACAATTTGGACTACATAAAAATGTTACAAAAACACAATACTGGTAATGCTCCTTCTCCAAAACTGTACCATTTTATCCACAACATCTTGTAACTTCACACATTCTTCCTCAAGCTCTTGGTTGCTCTGTTTAAGATTCTTTGAAGGGTCTCCAGCTGCCAAACTGCCTCCTTCCATCACCATATCAGACTCCATATTTGATCTGGGAACAGAGAAAACAGGCTACATGTGTAAAAGGCAAAAACAAACGCATTTATATAAAATATCTTATTATATTTTAATTTATATTATTTCTTTTTAATATTTAGTATTTATTGCTCAATTGGCATATTAAACTTACCTTTTGTTCAGTCCCAAATTAACAATTTTAGTCGCAATCGTGGATCCCTCGTCATTTAATCGCTCCCATTTCAGGATGAGATTATGCCAATCGGCAGCGTTGTCCTTTAATTTCCTGGCACTTCCGGTCAAATTGCCTTTTTTTCCTGGGGTCGTGGACTCCGACATTATGCATTTATTATTATTAATATGTCCAATGCATAAACAGCTGCTGAATTACGTTGTGCTTTTCATCATAACGCAACTTATTAACTGAGCAAATTAACTATTTGCAAATGTGTCTCCTCTGTATAGTTGTCGTTTAATTCCTTAATACAATCAAAGTATTTTAATTCGTAAAAATCAAAAACATCGCAGAAACTCACGTGTTTCTTCTTTTCTCTACTTCTACCGTTTAATGCTATGACAATTGCAGAGTGCGTTAGTGCCACCTACTGGATTCTGGAACAGAGACCTCCATGTCTGAGTGTCCCGAGTTCCCTAATGCAGCCTTATATTATATAAAAAAAAAAATGTATTTGGTGAACTCTTGGTTTGTAATTGTACCCCAGATCTCAGATCCATAGAGCGGGTTCTAGAACCAATTTAATTATTTTTAGCCACATTTTGATTGGAACATCAATGTAAAAAGCTCTGTGCTTTGTCCCTCAGGTCATTTAACAGCCTTGGTGAAGTTCCCTGTGTTGAATTATACCAAGGTATGTGTAGTTTTGAGTGTTCAAGAGACATGTTTTCTATTAAAATAGTGTAAAAAAACCATGCATGTAACTCATGTATACCAAATATGTTTTCAGCATATTGTGCACCATATTTATTTTTCAAATGTTGCAGTAATAATCTGTATGGTTGAAAATGTATAATATTAATATATTGCCCTTGTGACAACTAGTATGAACACAACTCATTTGGGTTTTGCCAAATAATTCAAATATATTCCAAAATTTTTTAGAAGTATTTGATTATCTATATTATAGATTTGAATTTCCCTATTCCTGAAAATTTGCCCACAGGCCATTACATGATTATTTTATTCACATAAAGCGGCTTGAAGGCAGTAGTTGTATTTCCTCTCACAGGCCCACAAAGGGCAGCAGACATCGCCTTCATCATAACAATTAATGTGCATTCCCCTACCAGCCTACATTTTGGAACTGTTAAAATAATAATACTAAATAAACAGATAATTAACGTGGGAGCCATTTGTGTAAAAGGCTGTTTATATGTGTGTTTAAATCAAAATTTTGCTCAAAATATAAATTGTAATAAATTTAATTTGTGTTAAATTAGTATTTAAAATCAAATTCACTAGTAACTTCCGAAGCTCACTGCAAATAGAGCCATTTTAAATGTGACAGAAAGAAATAAAACACAAGATTAGTAGTACCAATGAAATTATACCATTTTCTTCTTTTTATTGTAAACATTTTGAACTGAAGATTCACAATTTTATAAACACAGATGATGGTATATAATCAAGTGCATTTGACACTATATGCCAAGTAATGTTTCTCTTATGTGTGGCTGCATGTTGCATATGGCCGTGAAGTGGGTCAGTCAGTTTTTGTGGTGTGCTGATCACTGGCGTGTGTGTACAGTTGATTATTCTTGTAGCTTGTTGTCCCCCTGTCCTCTTGGAACTGTGGAAGGCAGTAAAGATCATACAAACGGTGTGCTAAATCATCGGCCTCCGCCACCCCTTCGCAGCTCATCTGCCAGCTCTGGGGAATGGAGTCGATGCCATAATGTGCCCCTGCAATTGCCCCTGCCATGCAAGCAATGGTGTCAGTGTCGCCACCCAGAGCCAAGCTGTAGGCTATTGTCCTCTCCAGTCCTCCGAACTGCTCTGGCAGCCCATCACGGGGCTCCAAACAATGCAGCACGCAGAAGATAGCGGTGGGCACTGACTGTAAGGCAGCGATGCCATTTCCTAATGCAAAAAAAGAGCGTCAACTAAAAGAAAAACGCAGCAGAATGGCATTATAAAAATGATCAAATCAATACTAACCCAATTCAGATATGACCTCCTCAATGCTCACACTATTTCTGTCCATAAGTTCTTTCACCCTGTGCAAACGTGAGCAATATGGGAAGTCTGATAAATTGAGTCTGTGGAATAAAACATAGTGGGTCAGAAGAACCATAGAGAACTCTTCTTAAAGTCAGCATGAAATGGAAGTTGCGATAGTCTTTTTTTAAATCATTTTTATTAATGTTTTTTAACATTAATTTCTTTTTAATTATGTTTTAGTTTCAAGTTAAACTTATTTCAGTTTATTGCCCAGACAACATTTCAAATTTTCATTCAAGTCAAGTTTTTCATCAAATACATTTGATTTCAGGCTTTATTCAAATCACGAAAACTTTTAGCGATTTTAATAGATAACAATGACAACATTGCATGAACAAAAACAGTTTAAAGTTCAAAATATCTTTTTTGTGTTCCACAGGTTTAGAACGACATGAGGGTGAGTAAATAATAGAATCTGCATTTTTTTGGTGAACTATCCCTTTAAGAAACAAACAACTGAAGTTCATTCTTTTGATGGGCTCACTTACGCTTTAGCATCAAGCTGGGCTGTTTCATCTTTTTCCATATCTTCCATTTCTGAGATCAGTTTGTTGATGAATTCTTTGGGCAGAGCCAAAGCACCTTGGAGAGACAGATGGACAGCAAGGGCCTGCAACATCGCCCCGTTGTAGCCCAAAGAGCATGAGTGTGTTAACATAGCGCCAAGCCGTGAGTACTGCCAAAAGCAAATGCAAGGACAGAATGTTAGCCTGAGACAGTCTAAATTAGTGAAGTATTTAAACAAGCGGTTCTTAACCTTTCTGACTCGAAGGCCGCCAACTGTTCAGCACAATATTAGAATATTCATAGAAAAAATTCTTGATTAGATGTGTTTTTAGCATTCTAATATATATATATATATATAGTCTAAAACTATTGTTGGTTGCAATTCATTCTTTTATGGCTACTTAGTCCAAAATGCTAAAAGCTGAAGTCTACCAGTTTAGAATCAACAGTAGGATGACTTTTCACCTTGCGGACATCATTGCGACTTCTAAAGGCAAGGGCGAAAGGTGCTGCTCTCATGGCACCTCCATTCCCGAAAGAACCGCGGCCGCCAAACTGAGCCTGTGCCGGCTGGAAGACATCCTTCAGATGGGGCGATGCAAGCTTCCGCAGAACCTGTATGACACCTGAGCCGTAACCTCGATCCGGAGCAAGGTTATACTCCTTTGCAAATCTGGAATCAAGTAAGATGATCAGGGAAAAGCAAATACTTGCTTAAAAGGACTCTTTTAGCCATTTCCAGCAGTAATGTACCTTCGAGCCATGTCTCGTTCATCAAACGCCATCCTGGTGAGGAGTGAATCTGCAACGCATCGCATCATGGCCGTATCATCACTGTACTGAAGAATTCCTGGACAAAATGTAGATGAGATGTTGTCTAAAATGAACTAAGAAACACTGAATTCATAGTCAAAAATGTTTTATAAAAAGTAAAATTGTGAAGTCACTTGTCTTTGGACCGAAAATATTTGGTAGAAATGGTACAAAACTTGGTGACTTTTTTGGCAATTGCTATATGAACACACACAATCAAATGTTATGTATAGAAATGGCTAAATGGTCTTGTATCACACTTTTGATAAAAAATTACCACCATAGGAAATTAATAGGAAGTATGAAAATACAGAGCAATTTTTGGGGTACGTAAATATGTGCCGCGCGTTCCTCTCACTAATAAAATAAACATGCAACAAAATTGAGAAAACAGCAAGCATTTTAATAAAGCATAAGAAAAGCATCTGATCATAGCAACGTTGCACGAGCTCTGCAATTCGGCACTGTAGTAAAGTCACGTCGTTTATTTATATATGACTTTATAAAAAAGATTGCTTAAAATCAAGCAGCTTTACCGTATTAAATATGAAAAACTGTGCCAGTGTCTCATTTAATTAGAAGTACAACTGAATTTTCTACTATAAAGCAGCTCTCCAGTGTGTTCATGTTTTCACTCTTAAGGTCTAAAAAAATATATATCCAAAAATGTGAAACATTAAAAGTATGCCTGAAAATACTCTAAGCAACTTGGGAATACATCGCCTTACATTCAGGAGTTGAACAATGAAACTGAAACACCTGGTTTTAGACCACAATCATTTATTAGTATGGTGTAGTAGGACCTCCTTTTGCGGCCAATACAGCATCAGTTTGCCTTGGGAATGACAGATACAAGCCCTGCAAAGTGGCCAGAGGTATTTTCGATCCAGCCCATGCTTCACTCTGGGCATGCAACAGTCCAACGGTTAAGCCTCTTCGGGGCTTCTCCACACCGTAACTCTCCCGAATGTGGAAAAGACAGTGAAGATGGACTCATCAGAGAATACATGTTTCACATTGTCCACAACCATTAAAACAGACGTTTGGCATTGGCACAAGTAACCACGAGTAACAAGGTTTGGCTATAGCAGCCTGACTGAATATTGATGAACAGTTTTTGATGGAAACAGGAGAGTCGAGGTGCACATTTAATTCTGCAGTGAGTTGGGCAACTGTGGTTTTTTTTTTGGTTACAATCCAGGAAACCCTGGATGCCATAGCTCTCGATACACCACAAAGACTTGCTGTTCTGGTGAGCCAGCAAGACATGCACCAACAATCTGTCCTCTTTTAAACTCCGACACGTCTCTCATTATGTTGTGTGGATTGCAATATTTTATGTACTATTACTCTGCTCCCACTGGTGGAATGTAAAATCAGTGAAAACTGGCCACTAGGCCACACATGTATAGGCGTGAAACCTCCAACACTATATTGGCCAGTGTTTCAGTTTCATTGTCCAACCACTGGATGTGTGTGTATACATGATGGATACTGGATATGTATATGACTATACATACAAATACATTTACCTCTATTTTTAACTTAAACCATGTATTCATTTAAAATAATGTTTTTTTTGTCTAATATTTGTATTATTTTGTATTGAAATAAATCGTGCATCAGGTGAATAGGCCTATTACCTAGTACCATGAAATTCCCTACAAATAAAATGTAATGCTTTCGGTCTTTTTTGACCACTAATGAGGAATACTAGAGAGGGTTAACAAAGACTTCAGGATATGCCAAGGGTTATACATCACATATTAGCCTAGTACGTGATATGGCCTTCTGATATGGTCATACTGTCGTAATCATAGAGTTAGAGATTAAATATCAAGACTCAAGTAAATATTCTTTTAATATATACAATGTAAATATGGAATGCTCACCGTCGCCTCGTGTTTCATCCTCCAAAGCGCTGAGATGCTGAAGGACTCGATCCAAAGGCACATCCACGGCGCCTTCAAACTCACCGCCTATACAGTCACCCAACACCGAACCGACCAGAGCTCCGCGGAACCGGGACAACATCACCGGCGCTGCTATACGCGCCGCAGCAGACATTTCTCCTACTGTATCTTAGTGTTAACGCAAACTGCACGTGATAAACAGATTCAGACGACCCTAGTGTGAATCTAGAACAGTGACATCTGGGGTTTGTTATGCTGGACTGTTGTTGTCATTGTGTGACCCGCTTCTTACCGCACCATGTCAAATATAACAGCATCACGATTCATTAATTAAACTATTCGCGAATATAATATTTTCGATTAACTTACTAAAATGGATATACCTAACTTTGCAGAAAGGGTTGTGTCTATTTTATTTAATGCCTTTATTTCGTTATTTAATTACAGAACCAATACGGACCTATGCAAACAGCAATGGATGGTGCGCAGCTGCTGAAGTCATATACGTTTCGATGTCTGCTGATTCGACCAATTCTAAATTCTGAAAATATTTAAATCATGGATATAAGACCGTTATATGCAAGTCATATATATGTATCCGTTTGTAGTTTATTTATAAATGATTTAAACTTCTAATAAAAGTGCACAACTGTACTTCTTTGTGTGTATTTGTGAATCTGCTGACCTGAGAATGTATCACGACGAAGGAAGTTGCATTGCGCATCGCGCTCTATTTTCTATGATCTGTATGTCATATGCTTATTATTCAGGTTAGCGATGAATCCTGTGCCAAATGTATGCATATGTTGACGATATCTGCTCTTCTTTGACGCTTGCGTAGCTGCTAGTGTTCAAGTGAGAAGTTACAAAGAGGCGGTATTTTGAAACAACACACACAGACGATTTATTTGCCAATATCAGGCAGATCGAGGACATCACATTCAAGAACGACAGGTAAAATACGGAACGATATGAAAATCATAAGTCACGCAGCAATAGTACCAGCATCTATATTAATATAAAAGTTAAAACATAGCAACTTAGAGCAACAAGCTATCTATCTAGTTTTACTTTAGAAAGTAAATTACTGGGCGTTCATTGTTTTAAGAGTCTTTGAACATGTTTTACGAGGGTTCATTTAATGTCTTCAATGTCCATCCGTGGACCACGGAGCACCTAAAGGTAGTTACCTTTTGAAAATTAAAGTCTCCATGAAATCGAAGTGGATAATTCTTATTTTTAATGGAATATTGCATTATTTATTATAAATGGTTTATTCGTGCACATCATTATTTAAATTGAAAAAATCATGTGTCCTCATAATCGTAAAAAAAAAAAAAAAACCCTCTTCTGACAGTCTCTCTTTGATGACGTGTTTAATGGCGCGAGGGCGGGACAACCTGTCACTCACATGAGATCACAGCAGTAGCAAAAGACGATACAATCAATTCCAGCCCTGGCTCTATGTATGTTGTATTGTTTTGTTGGTTGAAGCAATAAAAATAAAAATAAACAATCAATTGCAGATGTCAAGTCCCGCCTTACATGTTATCTGCATACTTGGATACGCATCACACTAAGGGGAGACTTCCGTTTCATGCTGACTTTAAATTTCTTGGGGGAAAGCAATACGTTTGCGAGATAATGTAAAATGTTTGCAAGTAAACACAAAGGTTTTGCGGGTGAAAGCGAAAACTTTGAAATATAATTTTTCCTACCATCTGATATTCTTTCCCATAACAAGAATGTTCATAGGGCCTATAACAAAAAGATGCAATCTGTTAGTTTTGATAAAAGACAATCCCTGGGACATGAAAATGTCCATATCTGAAAAACCACCATCATTTATTAGGCTGTTTTGTTTGTTTTATTGCCATCAGGTCTGGAATCACGTATGTTATGAATCCCTGGGACCCCATTACTTACACAGTGACACCTGCTGCTAATATTTTAGCCATATGTGTAACATCAGGCACCATGACACAGGTAAACCAAGAGAATATATATATTTTTTTCATTGATTATAAACAGTTCTGGTGGTTAATGTAATGCATTTGTGTTATGAATCTTATAGGAGGAGCTTGATGCTCTCCCACGGGATTCAGAAGTATTTTCCTCGCATTTACTTGAAGCTGAGCAGCTCAGCAGAATTAGACATGATCTTGATCAGGTTGGAAACAAACTAGAGCTATGAATTTTTTTTTTGCCACTTCTCTGATTTACAAACCTTAAACAACTTAAAATGATTTTCTATTTTTTCATCATGTTGTTTTAGACTAGTTTAGATTTAGAACTGCTGAAGCTGGAAAGAGACGGTGCAGACGTCACTCACAGTCATTACCTCAGTAAGTGTTGGAAACGGAATTGTGCGCATAAATTCACATTTCAACACGGAATTACACATACTCTAACTCTTTATAAAAATTTTACTAATAAGTGTGTTTCTTCGTAAGGTCAAAGGTTTGCTTCCTTGCAACAGTTCACTTCCCATCTTCAGGAAGTGTTGCGAGAACAGACAATCCTGCGAGAGAGACTCACAAAGCCACTGTGTCAGCAGAACCTGCCCATTCAGGCTGATCTTCACAGGTCAGAGGCTTTTAATGTGCCACTCAAACAAAATAGAATTTAAATTGTTCTTTTGTATTGAAATAATTACTTACAGTATTGATTATTGTTTAATGTAACATACATCTGTGTGCAGATATGTGGTAGAGCTCATGGGGATGGTGGTGGAGTTTATTCAGAACCTGGAAATGAAAATTGAGATTGTTCGAGCAATTCCAAACACTGATAGTTATCTGAGTAATCTGGTAAGTCTATACACACACACACACACACACTCTCAGTATGTATATGTTTTTTTGATGAATCAATCATGGTGGTCATTTGAACTAAAAATATACAGATCTATGGTGGTTAAAGGTTCATATAAATATGTGTTATGCTTTGAAACCACTGTCTATGTGATGTTCTTTACCTTTTTTCTCGCAAACATGTCATGTTTATAATGTAAATCCATATTATAACTGTTCTCCCCTTCAGAACAATGGCAGAACTCAACTGCTGGCTCAGGTCACTGAGGTTGAGAACCTGTACAAGCAAGTTCTTAAGCGACGAGGACATTCACAGACCAACCTTAAAGACATGTCTAGTTGATAAAGAATTTCAGAATAAAAATCACCTACTGTTTGTTCAGGATACCAGTGGACAGTAAAATGATAAAAATAACTTGACTAGATTTAGTATACATTTTTACATTTGCATTTTCTGTTGACTTCATACATCTAAATATAAGCTTTCATATTTTGTTTAATGTTGTTTCTATTCTGTGTACCTAGTGGTTGCTGACAAGGAACTTTGATACATTAGAGAAAACTGATTTATGGATTATATTCTTTAGCAGTATATATACATTTTCAGGCATGTGTGTAATTTTTTGTGAGTTTTTCTTTTGTAATAATTATAGCAAATAAATGTTTCACATTTTTAACCAAAACCGAAGGGTTTCAGTGCTGGGAACCAGCATCATGTATTATATTGTTTGTGTACTACATATAGTCTACTTTTACTGGTATCTCAATATACTATCAGTGTAAAATCAGTGACCTGTGGGATACCTGATACATCAAAGCATTTCTGGACATTTGTAGCCTGTTTGCTTGAACGTCAGTGACTGCAGTGAATGATGTTTAGGTGGAACAACTCAAAAAGTTTGATATAGTGTTCAGGCATTTGAATATTTTATATAGTCGGACAAATGAAACCATAAATTCAGCACAATAATTTCTGCTGTTGCTGCTTTCCCATCTCTTCTAATAAGAGTACTTTCTGTGTAATGATGTGTTTTGTACACAACAGCTCCATCTATAGAAAAACAGAAAAAGAGCAACAGGCAATTAGTGTGATGCTGAGATATCTATTTCTAGAGCAGTGATTCTCAACCAGCAAACTTACAAGGGGGGCATATTTTATGACTTGCATTTAAAAACTGTTTACACCTGTTGCATTCCCAGGTCCGTTTGGACCCTGTGGAACGTAAGTTTATAATGCAGTCATAACTTAATATTTTTCAACTAAAACCATATTGTATCTGATCAGTAATTTGCCATTGAGTGAATGCACACTTTTTTTTTTTAAGTTTTGAATGTTAGCATGTTTTTACCACGCTATTACTTAATTTACCCCTTTTTTATTATTTAAAAAATAATAATTAAAATGTTTTTATTGTATGATGCAAGAAAAATATATTTTCTATCAATATTTATGAGAAATTCTATTCTGAATATATCATTATATGAAATTTAAAGAACATAATATGAAAATTACCTGTGTAAATGGATTTAATTAAGTTCTTTTGAATCTAGCTGAAAACAGTCTAAATTTATGAAAACTAAACATTCTTTTTCTAACAAAACAACATCAGTATTACTCTGAAATTCTTTTCAAACTAAATATATTAATTTTACTTGCATAAACTTTTACTTTCAGATGATAAACAGCCTGAATCTCCTTTTAATGCTGCAATGGTTCATCAATAGGTGGCAGGAGAGTGAAATGTGGATATTAGACAGTTTTTTTTCAAATTTAGACTATTTTGTCTGAACTTTTGGGCCTGGTTTCACAGACAGAGTTTAGATTAAGCCTTAGTTCAATTAGGGCATTTAAGATATTTAAGATATGTCAGGGCAAGCTACTTTCAGTTAAAACAGCTCAAACATGCATTTTAGTCTGGGACTAGGCGTAAGCCTTGTCTCTGAAACCGGGGGTTGATCTACAAACAGACATAAATTCAGTTTGTCTTTATTTCAATTTCAAGTTAGTGTACTAACCTGGAGCTTTATCTCATGAATCTTGCTTTCATCTCCTCGCAGGCTGTACCCATGCTTTTTCAGAAGACCTTGAATGTGTCTTAGTGAGAAAAACGATTAAAGTAACATTCAGAAAACAATTTTTACAATCTTACTCACAATAATGCCAGTGGCCTATAAGCACACACCTCTGCACCTCAGCGTTGGGTTCCAGTGCATAACGCTCTTGTAGGAAATGCTGTAACTCGGGGCCCTTTGCGTCTAAAGTGCTCAGGGCCTCACAGGCAGCAATGCGCACACTGGGCTCTTCCTCATGGTGTACAGCCCACATCAGCAACTCCTGGACAGCTGGGTTCATCCAACCTATTTTCTTTAAAGCTTCATTTATATAATAATATTTCTTTAGTGTACTCATAAAAATAGTAACATAGAATGGCTGCATTCATTTTCAAGCTCACCATTAATTGCTTCCACTTTCACCTCCCATGTTGGCTCATTCTGCATCAGGTTAATAAGCTGATCAACGACCTGTGAACATGTTTTATGCGGTCATTCGAGTGAACTGTCCACATGCTATCATAGATCTATTGTGCGTTTGCACAGCTGCTTCATTTCCTCACCGACTGGTCTTCCATCATTAGAGAGGCTGCAGTCAAGCAAGCTTGTTTGCGCACAGTCACATAGTCATCATTAAAGCACCGCAGGAAAGTGGGCAGTAGCTTGGGTGTCATTATTTTGAGTTGACCAATTAAGATCAGCGCTTCCAGACGCCAAGCGGTTGGACCCTCCTCCAGCTTCGTGCTGTGGAGAAATTGTTTGTCTATTAAGAATAAACTGAATATAAATGCTCTGATGTGTCTGTTGGGTAGAGATAGTAACCTCAGCTCACTGTGCATTTCTCTGGCCACGTTCAGTTTACTTAGAGCCAGTGCTGCAGCATGACGAACAGCACAGCTCCAGTCGTTCCACATCATGTGTATCAGTTTGTTGCAAAGATCCTGCATGAAAAGCATTTCTAGTATGTTCAGCAATCATTATAGAGATATTAGATATGTAGAAATAGGTGTCTGAAATGTCCTAAAGAATTACATTATGATACCTTGTTGATTTGACTTCTGAGCTGTGCAATGCTAGTACAGGCCTGAACTCGTGTTCTCCAGTTAGCGCTGTTTAACTCTTCTGCTAGAAGAGAGCGCACTAGTGTCTGGATGGGAAATACCATGCAAAATATAGGGGGTCAGAAATATCAGTTTGAAAGAAAGAAATATTTATTGAGCAAGGATGTATTAAATTGATCAAAAGTAACAGTAAAGACATTCATGATGTTACAAAAGATTTCTGTTTCAATAAAATGCTGTTCTTTTGAACTTTCTATTTATCAAAGAATCCTAAAAAATGTTTTTATCATGGTTTCCACAAAAATTTTAAGCAGCTGTATTCAGCATTGATAATAAGAAATGTTTCTTGAGCACCAAATCAGCATATTGTAATTATTTCTTTAAGTATTATTTGACACTGAAGAATGGTGGCTGAATAAATTAATTACATTTTAATATATAAAGTTATATATACAGTATATATAGTAATTAAAAATAGTAATGATATTTCACAATATTAAATGCAGCATAAGAGACTTCTTTCAAAAACATAAAAATCAACCCCAAACTTTTAAACTTACGTTTATGACAAAAATGTGAACAAGATAAAAGTTTACATAGTCTAGTGCATGCATAAATGATATCATCTTTCTTTTATGCAAAAACCAATGCGAGAGTGACTCACAGTCTTGCTGCTGATGTTGGAGAGTAACATGATAGACTGCTCCTGATCTGAAAGAGCGTCTCTGAGGAAGTGCTGTGACAGGAGTCTCTGTATGACAGCTTGACTTGCATCACCGTCGATCGCCAAGCACTGCGCCGCCACCCAGCTGTCTGCACCCGTGCCAGAGGGGTCTGAGTCATAACATATGATGGTCATTTTGAGTCAACATCTGAGTAGGATAGATTGCTTTACTTGTGACATTAATGTTTGTTTTAGAGTTTATTTTAATTGACATTTTTAGGTTTCAAGCACTGGTCTCCTTTCGACTATGCACCTTGTTTTATCATGCTTCGTAGTATGTCTCTGGCGTGTGTGTTAGGTGTCCTCATGGCATACTGGCACACTGCAGCAGTCATCTGAACTCTCTTCACTGGATCCTCAAGGGCTGAGACAATGAGAGCCTGCAACTCCTGCGGTACCGCCTTCAACTTCCATTTCTTACTATGTTGAGCTGAGCAAAAAGAAATTAGATGGAAAAAATTTGTATTTATTTATTTTCTACTTCATTTAATTATTGCCTTAAAAGGGTTTATATTATATTATAATACAAAACCATGTTGTAAACATCAGTAAGATGTTTAAATATTTTTGAAAGAATTTTCTTATGCGCACAAACGCTGCATTTATTTGTTCAATAATCCAGTAAGATATTTGACTATTTAAAACAACTGTTTTCTGTATACTTGAATATATTTTAAAATGCAATTTGTTCCTGTGATCATGGCAAAGCTAAATTATCAGTAGCCATTACTCATTTTTCAGTGTCACGTGATCCTTCAGAAGGATGTGGTGCTCAAGATTTGCTCTTACTTTTATCAATGTTGAAAACAGTTTAATATTTTTGTGGAAACCATAGAAAGTTCACAAGAACAGCATTTAAAGTATTTGACAGATTGTTTTTTAACAATGTAAAAGTTTTTACTGCCACTTTTGATTCATATTAAAAGTACACATTTCTTTAAAAAATATATATTTTTTGTCTTATTGAGCCCATTTAAAAAAAAAAAGTTTTATATGAATTGAAAGATGTATTTTGAGCGGACAGATTAACCTGCTTTGCCAGGGTGAAGCTCTTCTTGTGGTCCATTAACTGCTCTTGATGCGCAGGTTATGATGGCCTCCAGCCGCACTGTGTAATTAGGGTCACTAAGAGCCCTTTTTAGGCCCTCGATGTTCACACTCTGCAAGGGCAACTCTAGATGAAACAATAATAATTTTCCAAAAGGTGTTTCCATGACAGCAATTGATGCAAAAACAATCAAATGTACGCAGGTATTCAAGGTGCTTTCCTTCATACACCACACACTGTTTCTATTTATATAGCTGTGTACTTCATGGCTAACAAAGCTAAGTGTATTACTTAATCAATTTAATAAGAGAAACATACTGACGTTGCAGGCAATCCTCCACTTGTCAACTGCATAGCGAAGAGTGCAAAGTTTGGCCCCAGATTGTCTGGGCATCTCAGGATCCTGCCCGCTAAAGTCAGGAGGTCTGAGACCCTGCTTGAGGGCATAGTCAATTCTGGTGGAATGATCCACCCATCGCTGTTCTGCTTTTACAGCTCTGCCTGCCAAATGTAACCCTAATATTTAGAGCCACATTTATAAACCTTTTAGCTGTCACAATGACATTTTTAACACTAATAGTGCACTTTAACGGCAAGTAAACAATCACACTCAAGATACATAAGTAAGTCTACCTGAGAAGATCTCCTGTGTAAAGACATTCTCTGTGACATGGCTGCCGGGACGTGGATTCAGAATATCCTGCAGACGAGGGGTCTGTGGGATCTCAATGTGCTTGATGGTCACAGTTGCTGTCGTATTTAAGTGGTTCTGCACATTGATGCTTACTGGAGAGAGCCCATAACCTGGTATCCTGTTAAATAAGGACAGACACCACAAAACATCAACAACAACAATGTGAAATACAAGTGTGTTGGGTCTAAGTGTATGAATTAAAGGGATAATCCACCCCCAAATGAAAATTCTGTCAATATTTACACCCTCATGTAATTCCAAATCTGTATGCATTTATTTCTTCTGTGGAGCACACGCACACACACACGCACACACACGCACACACACACACACACACACACACACACACACACACACACACACACACACACACACACACACACACACACACACACACACACACACACACACACACACACACACACACACACAAAAGATAGGTATTTTGAAGAATGTTGGTAACCAAGCAGTTTTGGTTCCCATTGTCTTACATTGTATGGACAAAAAAACACAATGTAACAGAAGCTGTTGGGTTACCAACATTCTTCAAAATATCTTCTTTTTCGTTCCACAAAAACAGCATGTCATGCAAGTTTGGAACACTACACATGAGGGTGAGTAAATGATGACAGAATTTTCATTTTTGGCTGGACATCCAATTAGAAAACCATTTTGATGAAAGCAGACGATTCTGTGACAGTATTACCTGTGTTGTTTCCTCGGCTGCGACAGATTATTAGTCTTATTTTGTGCCGGAGCCTGTAATGAAATTCTGCCTTCTTCTTGGGTTAAAGTATTAATGTTACAGTTTCTTTTTTTGTTTCCATGCTTCTTTTTTTTCTTTAATGTGGTACATGGTGCTAAGGGGCCTGTGGCATGGAAAAGCCAGCTAAAATCTAATTTTCTGTATGAAATGGCTCCCATCTCATAAATAACTTCTTCAGAGAAAGAAAGGCGCTGGCTTGCGTTATTCAGAAACTGTTTGTAAAGACACTCCTCTCTGCGCTTGCTATGGTGCTCTGGTCTCCAGTTTGCATGCTGTAAATTCATGGTTGTCTGTGAGGCCTTATGGGACATTGTCTAAAAAAAGGAAACAATGATCAAATAGAAATTGATTATTTGATTCTTAAAGCCTGCTGGGTTCATAAAAACAGCCCTTTTAGCTATTAAAAGAAATCTGGAGCCTCCTGTAAAACACTACATATAATCAACCCAATGAATAAATACAAAATAATAAACATAAAAAACATAGCCACTATGGTTACTATGAAAAGCCACCTACCGCCACAATTCACAAATCACGTCTCCACAGGAATCACAGCACAGAGATCACACTTGAAATGTCAGAACATTTATTTTTCAGAGCAGTTTATATCAAATGTTTTGACCAAAAATGAGGATAAAATACTTTTTAATAAAACAAGCAAAGTGCGTCGCTGACAAGGGTAAAGTTACCAGAGCTCTGACACAGCGCTCAAAAGTTGGCATAGCAACGAGACGCGCTTGTTTTGTTGCAGAGCGGCTGCCATGGCTCCTTGACATTAACTACCTAGGGATCATCACACATAAATAGATGCCTCATTAGCAGGTGTTTCTATGGGCCGTTATATGTAAGCCGTCCGACATATTGGAACAGTCACAACTGGTCCGTGAAAATTCGAGAGTCGCATGTATGAATATCTATCTGCAATTGACTTCAGCAGATGATTTGGCTAACACAGTACAACAAGACAAAGGCGTCAACTAACAGGACATTAAACGTTACTATAGTAAAAGTAAAAAACAGTTTTAAAAAAAAGTACCATAGAAATAATGAGTTAATTCATATAAAAGCACAAAGCAACACATTCTTACCTGTAAAAGGTTATCCCTTTGGGAATTTAAATCTTGGCGGTTGATGACACGTTGACCGTTCCAAGATGGCCAATCAAAAGGCGGGGCTGTTCCGGTCTGTTCACAGAAGACGAGTGCGAATTCCAATGTTTTAACAGAGGAAGAGAGCATGGTAAGAGGTAGCTAAACATGTAATATCTGATAACCGTTTGACAGTAAGACTGACAGTAATGTCTTTTGAAAATGTGAATCGAAAATATGATATTTACATGATTCATATCTGAAAGTGATGAGACAAGAAACATTTTGCGTTTTCGACATTACATAGGCTACAAATAATAATAATAATAATACCCCAAAAATTAAGTTGACCTAAGGAGAGTGGCCCCAAAATGCATCTCTTTTACAAGATTTGTTGTGAGTGATTCTTGCACATCAGTTCAGTAGCTGCAGTGCTTTCTGGGCATACAAGAAAAGTGAGCGAGTTTTTGCCTGTTTCTGGTTTACAGCTGTTTTGACTTTAGCAAGCGAGTTATGGGCCAAGAACAGACCATATAATTCCATGCAGCATCTGGGATGAATATAGGATGAATCCTGACAGGCGGAGGATTCCATCACAATAGTTTCAACAGAGACAATGCTGACTACACAACAGAGGAAACAAAAGCAATCATGACCACAACATGAAAAGAATGAACAAATCGATGAATAAAAGACATTCCAGGAAACATTTTGTAGCATGTTTTAGCACTGGCGCAATTTTATTCTGCACTATTTTTTTAACAGTCACTGCCATTTCAACAGCATTTCTTGTCTTTCTCACAACCATACTTCAAACATACAGGTCAGGCCATAACATTCACTTTAAAGGGGAATTGCTAGATATGATGAGTCTCTCTCATTAAGCTCATTTTATGAGCCGATGTATTTTGAATGTGATGTCTTCTGTCACAGAGACATACACATTGATATACCAAGGTGTGAAGGAACATATTGCTGTTTCTGGGAACTTCTTCAGAGGGACAGTTTCCAACAAGCTGCATACATAGATCACCTGCTTCTTTGAAACAATGTGAGCAAATTGCCATGCAACCTTAGCTTATATAAACCGAACATCACAGACAATTATTTGATGCCAACATTCATTCAATGGATCAGCATTAACAAAATAACACAACTAATAATGATAAAAGAAATAGAAAATATCCAAAAAGATATCAGTAAAGGTTACAACCAGACTAATTTCTTTCCTTTTGAAGCATGTATTAAAATCTGTTTTTATTTAAAGATTTAGGGATATTCCAATTTCTTTTAACAAATAAATATTTGTAGTCTTTAATAATCCTATAGCAATGCTTATCTTTTTCTCAAGCTTTGATAAATTAGAAATGATACATGTATTAATGCTAAAACATCAAAACATTTGTATTATTAATAAAAAAAGTAAATATATATAAATGTAACATGTTTATTGATAGATTTTATTTGAAATTGATTTTAAGCTGACATTTGTCAGCCAAGCGTTAATAAATAATGTAAATTAATGGTTGATAATTCCAATCCAGCCCTTTAATTAAAATCAAAATGTAAACAAAACAGTCTTCAATGCTGGCCTGAATACGCCACATTTATAATTTAGCATGTGTTAGTGTGGCGAGCAGGACGAGGCCGAGGGCCGTGAGAGATACGCGACTGGTGCGTCTCACAGGTGTCGCTCATCATTAATCACGCCACCGGCCTCGCACCGCTCTCTCACGGCCCTCGGCCTCGTCCTGCTCGCCACAGTTAGCTTTTAGAGCAAGATATATTTCATGAGAATACACTTCATCAGTTCGACGCCAAGCAATTCCTCTGAATGAAATAGCCATCAAGGCCACTTTCTGCGTAGTGCAAATAATGATGTTTAACGAACCTTTTCTATCACTGAAATAGTCAGCCTGACAAGTTCAAGACACTTTAAACCGAAGTCTCCACACAACAGGAGTCTCTACGAACATAATAACTCCTCACCTCTGAGTAGTCCCCACAGCCCTCAGGCCGATGTACTATGAGGACTGGGAAGAAGCGAGCGTCTTGATAATTCGGCGGGCTGTCATTAAGGGCAAGCTGACTGGTGTAAGACCTGCAGCACTGCTCATCAGGGCAGCAGCGCTCTGTAAGTGTACTACTACGGCTTCTCCACAGTCCCATAGTGCGCCTGGAGCCATACATGCGGCACAACGAGAAGTGCGAGGTGTCCAGAGACAAACGGGAGTGGAAGGTGTGGCGAGAAAAGATGGAGGAACAGCTAGAGCTGATCGTTGGCTGTCTTCGGTCGCCTTCTTCTTGGCAACAGTGCTCACAGTTCTGCACCAACGTCCCGTAGCTCTGCGTTGAGCAGCTGTCCAACAGCAAGCGGTTGGAGGAAATGCTGTCTCTGTGGTTTGACCCAGAAGCCCCCAGGTTCATCAGCATGGCTTCCGAGTAGCTGGGTATAAGCTGGCGGTTTGAACGAATGTGCCATTCCAGCTCCGTACTATCCACCGTTTCTACTCTTGGAAGGCCATAGCGAGTGTCCAACACGGTGGCATCAGCCTCTGGAGACGGGCTGTTGTTGCTATACTCTAGTCCGAAGAGTTTCTCGACTTGGTAGTGCACAAACGCCGTCCGGTACTCGATCAGCACTCGCAGTGGCCAGGAGAGCATGAGGAGAGCCGCTATCCAGAAGGTGACCCGCGAGGTGTACCACGGCAGTTGGTCGGGATCCACATAAGCGATGAGGTGCTCTTTAAAGTCGACGTTCTTCAGAAGCATGCCTTCGCGGGCTTCCATGTAGTCGTCCAAACCCTCAATTTCTGAGAAGAACCTGGCTCGCTGGTTGAGGTATGAATTTTCAGGACCCGCTCCTGCGAAGCTGAAGCACTTGGAGAAATGCAATCGCGTCGCTGCGTGACCCTCCAGTCCGCGCAAATTTCGTGAGACGTCTCTCATTCCGCAGCGGCTGTAGTCGAATTCGCCCTCCGCCACATGCGTGTTAACACGCTCATGAAAAACCTGCGTGGTCGTGTAGGCATCTCCATTCCTGTAACGCGTTACTTGTCGAGTCCTACGTACAAAATGGTAACTGATGGCTTTCCACCAGACGCACGGTCGGGCTTGACGCATGCGCAGAACCCTTTCGTACACGCTCTCAACGTTGGCCTTGCACTGCAACTCGCTGCGGGCCCGACAGTGCCAGCACTCCATAAGGTAAACGGCGTAGAGCATAAGCAGGAAGGCCAAGGGGATGTACACATAACCGTCAGAGCAAGGGCTCTCGTGGTATATCATGGAGCGACCTCCTCTAAGAGAGTTCATTGAGGCTGTGAGGGAAGTACTGGAGGAATCGAAGCTCAGCTTGGTGACCTGGGTGAGCTGACACCAGGCCACGGCACCCAGGCAGCTATACATGAGCAAGGAAAGGAGAAGGCAACGCCAGTGCGTCTCACGGCACATAGAGGCACTCAGGGACTGCTTTATTGGCCATTGCTACAAGGAATAATGAGAAAGATAAAGAGTAATTAGCATATTGTAAGGCACACGGACTTGCTGTGAATGCTGTGAACGAGAAAACAAGAGGTAATGAATAAACAAACCATCAGAGATTTAGTTTCACTTATATAAGACAATGATAATGTACGAGGGGATCATATTTCCTCACATCAGTGTTGTAGTTAAAACTAAAACTACTAAAGCGATTTCTGAGAAATGCTGCTGATATTTGAAATCACCAAAAGGATCATACTCCTATCTTGATAGCTCCACCCCCAAATTCAGGCTGCATCTGATATCGCATACTTCCCTACTTCCCCACTATCAACATAGTAGTTGAAAAACAGTATGTGACAAAATAAGTATGTCCGAATTCATAGTAGTCATAAAAGAGTAGGCAAAAAGTGACATACTTCTTCTGGCGAGATTCTGAAGTCTTTGCTATCCCATGAGGCCACGCGAGAGGATTTATGAATGGCAGTGAAGCAATGTAACTGACGCTGGTAGGTCACATGATAAAGACAACATGGTGAATGTAGTACATCCAGATTATATTCATACTACACACATTTATACAATATAGAACATACTTTTTTAGCGGTCGTGAAGTAATTAGACTACTTATTCAAAATAAGTACCTACCCAAGAGAGTATGCGATTTCGAACGCAGCCTAACCTGCTATGCAACACAGGCCTAATGAGTGTATACGCCCCTCACTGTTGATTGGCCTCAAGTGTGTTTTGGTGCTCGGTTCAATCCACTTTCAACAGCATTTCTCAGAAATCGCTTAATGTACCTTTTAAAACTAATTTTCGGTAATTGAAATAAAGCTGAAATAAAATAAAATATAAATTATCATATGAAACCCTAAAACTTAAAAATTAGAAATGTTGCCATGCCAACTAAGTGAAATAAGTTGAAGCTGAAGTACTAAAATTATTTCAACTAAAACTGAAAACTGAGTCAAATATAAATAATTAAAACAGTAATAACAATGTCAAAAGCACAAAATTAGTAAAAACCTAATCTAAAATTAAAATTAAAACCGAAAATATAACAATAAAACCTTATTCGAAATAATAATAAATGCTATAATAATATATAAATAATAAAATAACAGTGCCTTAGCTCTCCAGTGCATCTTGTGCTCATCTTAAATGTCCCCTTTAACCTCTTCATGTACACTTCTAATAAAAATAAAATAAGTTTAAAATAAAATGGTTTCATTTGAGTCTACTTCAAACAAAGTGACAACGCACAGACAAGAGTAAGAGTAAAAGAGTAAACCCGGAACATGACTAGAGGGATATAGATCTATGTGAGAAAGTGGGGCCTGACAAGACTGAGGATTTGTAGCAATCCCTCAGTTCAGACTTAATTACTTACAGTACATACTGGCACAAAGTCTCAAGATAATGTCTATTAAGCCTATAAGCACTCACTTGTTTCAGACTTGTTAACCATTTGACCATTTTGCAGGTAATCCAATTTTGTGATTACATTTTTCTTTTCCTCATCATCAAAATCATAGACCAAGCAATGGTCAGTTGAAACAAAACTGTCTTCAATCAATGGCAGACAAAATCCATCAAATTTTTTAAATTTCTTTTATTCGAAACCTGCAGAGTGGCTCAGCAATGCTTTTGTGTGCTAAATCTGAACTTGAGACAATTCTTTAGTAAAGCACAGAAGTGGAAAAGGACCTTGCTCCTTATTGTGAGTCTCACTCAAAGGGTTCAAGTGAGCTATACTGAATACAAATTATGATGAAAAATTACAGCTTTTAAAAATACCATAATAGTCTACTTTTAGTTAGGTGAACTGATCAAAAATCTGAGAAGTTTGTGTTTTGAGTAAAAAATCTGTATCATGCTCAATATTTATGAGTTGAGAATGTTGTCCAGTAAGTGTATGTACATTTCAGGAGCTAATACCACTGCTTCTGATATTTATAAGGGTTGAAAGGCTTTTAAAGAGGGAAGAGTGAGGTGCAACATCAATAATGGAAATCCAGCATGAAAGAGAATACTCTGACAGAGCTAACAGTCAGCCATTCAAAAGCATACTCTAGAAAAACTGCTCTTATCCTCACTGATCTGGGATAAGTGAAACTTTGGACATAATATGATTTAAGATTCAAAAGCATTACAGCTAAAACTTGATAATGACTTCAGGAATACCAAATGTGGGAGCACTGATTTTGTTTGTCAGTTGGTCTAAAGAAATTAAGTTTAATTTGAAAGCAACTGCTCATCTGGTGATCCCTAGAAAAATGAAAAGCATATAGATTCCATCAAGATTTACATAAAAAAAATAATAATAATAATAAATAAATAAAAAACATTCCTTCACAAACCTTCTTGAAATCTCATTTTGGTTTTATTAAATAACATATTATTAAATTAAATGTAATTATTAAGTATATGAATTCCTTGCACATTGAATTATATATATATATATATATATATATATATATACACTCACCGGCCACTTTATTAGGTACACCTGTCCAACTGCTCGTTAACACTCAATTTCTAAGCAGCCAATCACATGGCGGCAACTCAGTGCATTTAGGCATGTAGACATGGTCAAGACAATCTCCTGCAGTTCAAACCGAGCATCAGTATGGGGAAGAAAGTTGATTTGAGTGACTTTGAACGTGGCATGATTGTTGGTGCCAGAAGGGCTGGTCTGAGTATTTCAGAAACTGCTAATCTACTGGGATTTTCACGCACAACCATCTCTAGGGTTTACAGAGAATGATCCGAAAAAGAAAAAACATCCAGTGAGCGGCAGTTCTGTGGGCGGAAATGCCTTGTTGATGCCAGAGGTCAGAGGAGAATGGCCAGACTGGTTCGAGCTGATAGAAGGGCAACAGTGACTGAAATAACCACTCGTTACAACCGAGGTATGCAGCAAAGCATTTGTGAAGCCACAACTGTAACGGATCACAGAGACGGATGTAAATGCAAAAGACTCTTTATTGAAGTGTACACAGACACGAAGGTCAGACACTAGCACAGGTGACAGCTCTCCTCAGGTGCAGGTCAGGCGATCAGCGCTAGATGGAAGGTGACACAGGGACCTCGGTGAGCGACTGGTGCTGGTGATGTCCCGTGAAGACCCAGTGAAGTGCTTGGTAATCCAGTGCAGGTGAAGAATCCAGATGAGACAAAGTACACAGGGAATCCACGATCCAACACGAACACGATCCAACACGAACACGGTCCAACACGAACACGATCCAACACGAACACGATCCAACATGCAACACGGGAACACACCGGGGAAACCACAACGATCTGACAACATGAGACACCAGTTACTGAACTTATAAAGAGACAAACGGATTGAAACCAGCTGGCGCTGCTGATCAGCAGTGATCAGTGACCACGCCCACAGACACACACACACACACCACAACAACACGCGAGACGAGAGAGAGACAGTAAATTCATGAACCGTGACAGTACCCTCTCCCCTAGGAACGCCTCCTGGCGTTCCCCGATGGCCTTACCTGTCGATTGTAATCATCGATAAGGGAGTGATCCAGAATGTCTCTAGCAGGAACCCAACTTCTCTCCTCCGGACCGTAACCCTCCCAGTCCACCAGGTACTGAAATCCGCGTCCCCTCCTTCTCGAGTCCAGAATACGATTAACCGAATACGTTGGTTCCCCATCTACGAGACGCGGCGGGGGGGGAACCGGGACCGGCGGATTAATTCGTGAATGAAACACAGGTTTGATCTTTGACACATGGAAGGCGGGATGAATTCTCCTGTACGCAGGAGGAAGTTTGAGGCGGACTGCCACCGGACTAATGATTTTTGTGACAGGGAACGGGCCGATAAATTTGGGAGCAAGTTTATTAGCTACGGACCGGAGAGGAATGTTCTTAGTAGAAAGCCACACTTTTTGACCCACGACGTATACGGGAGGCTTCGACCGGTGGCGATCGGCTTTAGCCTTGGTGCGCGCCCCCACTTGGAGAAGAGTCTCACGGGCTCTTTTCCAAGTGTGGAAACACCTCTGGACGAAGGCGTGAGCGGAGGGGACCGCGACCTCGGATTCCGTACTAGCAAAAACTGGTGGCTGGTAACCTAGACTACATTCAAACGGAGTGAGGCCCGTGGCTGACACTGGCAACGAATTGTGGGCGTACTCCACCATAGAGAGTTGCTGACTCCAGGAGGAAGGATTCCTGGAAACCAGACATCGCAACACTCTCTCCAAATCCTGGTTGGCTCTCTCGGTCTGACCATTGCTTTGGGGGTGAAAACCCGAAGAAAGACTGACCGTCGCCCCCAGTAATTTACAAAACTCTTGCCAAAATTTGGACACAAATTGGGGACCCCTGTCGGAAACCACGTCCGTCAGGAGGCCATGTAAGCGAAAGACGTGATCAACGACAGTTACCGCTGTCTCCTTGGCGGAGGGTAATTTAGGCAAGGGAATAAAATGAGCCGCCTTCGAGAACCGGTCCACGACAGTCAAAACGACCGTCTTGCCCTGGGAGGGCGGTAATAAAATCTAGCGCAATGTGGGACCAGGGTCTCGAAGGGACAGACAGCGGTTGGAGTAACCCATCTGGGGGTCGATTGGAAGTCTTACCAGTGGCACAGTCCGAGCAAGCCAAAACAAAACTGTGGATGTCACGAGCCATTAATGGCCACCAGAATCGTTGTTTGACCAAAAAACTGGTGCGACTGACCCCAGGATGACAAGCTACACTGGAGCAATGACCCCACCGAATGACGTCGGACCGATACCCCTCCGGCACAAATAAACGATTCGGTGGGCAATCGGGCGGAGGCGTTACCCCTTCTAAGGCCTTCATTACCTTCGATTCGACCTCCCATCTGAGAGTGGAGACCACTAATGTCTCAGGTAAAATACACTCGGGAGTAGCCGGGCGTTCGGATTGGTCAAAAATACGAGATAAAGAATCGGGTTTGATGTTCTTAGAACCCGGGCGGTACGAGAGAGAAAAGTCAA